ACAACCCCAGTGCTCATCCACTGGCATCGGGATACGTTGTGGCCCATTCCCGCGGTGGAATATTACGCAGTCATGAAAAGGAGGGCGCGCTGGTATTCGGTACAGTGTGGGTCAGCCTTGAAAACGAGATGGTCCAGGAGGGAACCAGCCAGAAAAGGACACACAGTGTGTGACCCATTTAGAGGAAATGTCCAGAAAATGGAAATCCGCTGTGACCGGGAAAGGCCTGTGCTCCCTGGAACTGGGGCGGTGAGACGGAGGCGCGATTGCTCAATGGCTATTGGGGCTTCGCTCATGGATGCTGCGAATGTTCTGGAACCAGACGCAGGAGGCGGTTGTCAGAGGCGGAGAACACACCAAACGAAGCTGAATTCTGGTGTGAAATGGTCAATTTCGCGTCGCGTAGACGTCATCCCAGCATAAAGAACGCCGTGCGCAGCGAATCAAAGAGGAACTTCCTTTCGCCGAGGCACGTGGCCCTGCAAAATGACACGAGGCGCCAAAAACTCTCCGTAAACGAGGAAACGCGCCCAGGCAGCGGCTATTGTTACTCCCATGCTTCTCACCCAGCTGGACGTCCAGCTGCTGAGGTCGATGACAACGCACAGAGCTCGGCGCTGCCGCGGGCCTCTCGCGCCGGTGACAAGGACGCGCCTGTAGACGGCTCAGCTCGCACCTCGCCGCCCCCTCTCTGCACATCAGCCCCGAGCCCACCATCCCTCGTGGTGGACGATGCCCTCCTGGCCCGCGGTCAGAGCCAGGCCTCGGTCCTAGAAGACGCTGCTCCGGCCCCACGGGCTGCAGTCAGACCTGGCGACAGGGCTCGTCGTGTCGCGCTCCCCTTTCAGGAAACCCGAGGACCAGCTGTTCTTCCTCAGAACAAAAGAGAAGCAAGAGCTTCAAAGGAGACGCAAGGTCCCCTGGCAGCCGCAAGAGGCAGGGGCGCCCAAATCCTGGGTGCGCAGCCCGGGAGGCGGATCCTGGGTGCCGACCACTCAGAGGGCAGGACCCCTGCTCTGCTCTCCGCGAGGCCCCGCTTGGAGGCCCCGCTTGTCTCCCCTGTTAGCCTGCTGGGGAGAGGCCTGGGCTCTGCGTCTTCCGTTATCCAGGTCAAACCCCTTCCTCGAGATGAGCTGGGTTGGAAACATCCGTCGCACGCACACCCCAAGCCGTGTGGCCTCCCACCGCACCCCAACTTCCAGACAGGTCCGTCGGCTACTCCCTCAGCACGACCCAGAGCTTCCTCCTCCCTGGGTCAAGCGCACAGTGACAAATGGCACATGGGCAGGGTCCTGCCACCTCCCCAGAGCACCGCACGGGGCCTCCGTGCCCGCACTCCCTCGAGAGAAACCAGCGCTCCCTCTTGTCTGTGTTGCTCACCCAGGAAACATGGACGCCTGGGTGTGTGCCGGGCAGGGCGGCCTTCCAGGCCACTTCCCAGGCCTCTGCCTGTGTCCGCTGCAGCCAGCGGGGAGTGGCCAGGCCATCAAGGGTGCGCTGGCCAGGCCGGTGCAAGGAGCGGAGCTCACACCTGCACTTGAGCTTCCTGCACGCACTGCCTGCCCCTCCGCAATGGAACCCCCAGCCGGGCCGCTGCCCCTGACCACCAGGCGCCAGGACCGTGAGGTCACTGGACGCCCAGCACGCAGGGCAGGCGACGGGTGTCCCAGCCCCGAATGGATGGAGTCTGAACACAGCTCCCCAGACCCCCACCCACGCCAGGAGTGGACCCAGGGCCGGGTCAGAAGGAGTCAGCCCAGTCAGGGATCACCAGAGCCCGGCCTGCCCCATGGGCGGAGGTGGCACCGGCGGGACGGGACACCCTCGCCAGCGCCGCCATCCACACTCTGGGGCGCGCGCCGGCTGCACGGCCCGGGCTGCAGAGGAGCCCCAAGTGCCTGCAGACGTGGGGGCCCCGTGCCCCACCCGCACCGGGGCCGGGAGCCCAGGGCTCCGCTCTGGCCTATGCCGCGAGGACGCGGCTCCAGGGTCCCTGGGTGCGCAGGGCGCCGCGCACGCATTTCCGCGGGTGACAGCACCACCTTGTGGCAGCCGGGGAGGCGGACGCGCGGGCGGTCGGGGCAGGCGCACAGCTGGTGGACAGACTGGTCCCCTGGTCAACTCACCCGCCTGTCCGGAGTGACCCCCGCCTCGCAGACCCAGCCCGGCCGCGCACGAGGTGGCACAGTCACGGCGCCTGGATCAGCAGCAGCTGCAGCAGGGGCCGCCGCTCCAAACGCCCCCGCGGGGACTTGGTCCCCAGCCGCGAGGCCCCCAGGCCACACTGACCAGCCGCTCTGCTGCTGCCCCTGGGACCCACCCACGCGGGCAGGGACGCCCTGGGGGCGGCGTTTCTGGGGCTGCAGGGCTCTGAGGTCAGGCCTGGCTCTGTCCCGGGTGGGCCCCAGCCTCGTGGCCAAGACCCTTCACCTGAGCTCCCCAGGGACACAGCCTAGCTGGGAGTCGGGGCAGCATTGCCCGCCCATGAGCTGCCCCCAGTGGGGAGCCCCCATCACGCCCTGGCTGTGGGGGCGCTGGGAGGGGGTGAATTTATCAACCTCGCCCTCTGCCCCCACGGGGCATTGGCTGCAGGCTGAGGCTGGACATGGCCATGACTCCTGGAGGAGAGCTTCGTGGGGCCGGCCACACCGGAAGGGGCAGCGGAGTTCTGAGGGTAAAGTGTGAGCCTTCCTGGGCCTCCCCACCCAGCAGCCCGGAGGGCAAAGCCTGTGCATGGACGTCAGTCAGGCTGGGCCTCCCCGCTGCCCAGCTAAGTCCACTGCCCAAGGGCAACCAGCCCCTCACCCCCAGGGGGCAGATGAAGAAGACAGAACAGTGGAGATTGAGAGAGGTGGGGGGGGTCCATCCTTTTTCCTGCCTGTATAATATTCCACCGGTTGGACTGACTACATCTTCTTAGCCCCAGGAGCCCCCCATCCAGTATAGTCACAGCCTCCAGGCTGGGGACCCCTGAGCCCCTGCCCCAGTACACAGAGCTCACACCGTGGTCACAGAACGGCCCTCACCATGGACTGGCCACAGGTTCCAGGTCCCAGCCTCCCTCAGGAGGGCCAGGAAGCTCTGTCAACTGTCCTGGAGACTATTCTCAGGTCCCAGTTCTGGGGGGACCCGCTGGGCAGCCACCTGTGTCCTTTGTGGCATCTCGGTGGCCCCATGGGTTCTGCGGCCCCTAAGCACGTCAGTTGGGGGGTCTCAGGGAGCTGGGGTCCAGATGGCAGGAGGCCTGCACCCTGGGTTGGAGGGTGTGCAGGAGGCTCTCCCTTTGCCCCGCGCTCCCCACCCACCCCCCAGGCTGGCTTTTTAATTTTGGTTTTCAAAGATACTCAGCGACAAACTGGCTTCTGGTCAATACCAAGTGGGGAAAGTCTGGGAAAGGTGTTTTTTCTATTTAAAAAAACAAAAACAAAAAACAAAAAAAACCAGAGCAAATCGTGTCATGTTGCACCTAAACTGTTTTCTTTGCCGTCTTTCAGGAAGGGAAAGCCCTGTGTGGCTCCCGAGCTGGGCTCCCAGGATGGGCTCTGTATCTGTCTGCTTCACCCTTTAAGAATTTCCCCAGTGACCGCCCCTTCTGCCCCCTGGTCCCTGACCCCCTCCAGCTCCCCTCAGTGCCCTGACTGGCCTTTGTAAGAACTTGGTTATGGGATTGCCCAGTGTTTATGATCATGGTTCGGACTTACTTGTTGCCCGTCAGCCTCTTAAATCCCCTGCATTTTGTTAAAATGGCTGCGTGGCTTCCTTTTTCCTGGCTGTATAATATTCCACCAATGCACAGACCGCATCTTTCTGCAGCCAGTCTTCCGCGGATGGATGTCTAGGTGTGTCTGTGTTCTGGACACGGTGACTCACGCTGCTGTGGACTCTGTGGAACGCGTGGGGTGGGTGCCCATGGCTTCCTGGCCTGGGGTAGATGCACAGGAGCTGGATCGCCAGATCCTGTGGAATTTCCATTTCTGGGTTTTGTGAGGGAAACCCAGATCGCTTCCGGCACAGGGCGCCGGGTCACACTCCCAGCAAGCGCATCCTCGGCCGCTGCTTCTCCACATCCCCCCAGCACCTGCTGTGCTGGGTCTTTCCCCTGCGCTGTCCCCAAGGGTGCGGGTCCCACACCCATAATGAGGCCATTTCGGCCTCTTCTTAGCAGAAACAACGAGCCTTTTTTCCGTGCCTTTTGACCTGCCCCGTATCCACTTTCGAATTGTCTGCTGGCGTCTGCTGCCCATGAGCTGGGTTGCTGGTTTGGTTTGGTTTTTGTTTTTTGATATTGTGGGTTTTTATCGAGCTTACGAACCCTTGTCACCTTTACGTCGTGTGGCTGTGTGCTCCCGCCCTGTCAGGTGACTCTTTATCGTTCCACTGCACGGACTCCTAACTGGAGGTCACCCCGTTGCTTATTCTCTGAAGCCCTGTATGTGGAGTTGGCCTGAGAGACCCTCCCCTCCTGTTGCAACAATCCTTGGCCCCGGAACTGGGGGCCAGGTCTGTTCTGCCCCTCTCGGTGTCGGGGTGCTCTCCTCCATCCTTGGGCACCACCGCGTGGGTCTCAGGAGGCAATTTTGGGGAACGCTCCCTGCCCACTGGACAGGACCCCCACCTGCTGGCCAGGGGAGAGGTTCCCGAAGGAGCGGCACTGACGCTCGCCTCCCTCCGGGGGGCCCTTGAACGCACAGGAGGACAGAGTCAGGACAGCTGGGCTGGGAACATCACTTTATTTGCTCACAGTGGGGGATTGTCGCTGGGGACCCTGGAACCAGGGCTCCCCAGAGGGGAGGACAGGGGCATGTGGGGTCCAGATTCTCTGCAGTCACGCCTGGATTTCAAGGGGTCCGAGGGGTGTTCTTGACACGACCACGTGCAGAGCCTGGGGTGCAGGGGCTGACCCCAGGGGAGCCGCGAGGCTGGAGATGCGGGCTCAGCAGCAGGGAGGGCTGCTGCGGGGGGCAGGTCTGCAGGTCATCGTGGGCTGGTTGCCCCCAGGACTAGCAGGAGGGCTGGCAGGAGGGCTGGCAGGAGGGCTGGCAGGAGGGCTGGGAGGGCTGGCAGACCATCATGGGCTGGCAGCCCCCGGAGGACTGAGAGGGCACCAGGCACACGACGGGCTTGCAGCTGACCGGCACGCAGCAGGCAGGGGGCCCGCAGGAGATGGGTTTGCACACCATCATGGGCTGGCAGCCGCCAGAGGACTGGCAGGGAGGCTGGCAGCCCCCGGAGGACTGAGAGGGCACCAGGCACACGACGGGCTTGCAGGTGACCGGCTTGCAGCTGACGGGCACGCAGATGGAGGGCTGGCAGCTGGAGGAGCAGCTCATGGTGGAGGAGTGGACGGTGGAGGAGTGGACGGTGGAGGAGTGGATGTGGAGGAGGAGGAGGTGATGTCTGGGGCTCCCTCCCGGCGGCTTTTATACCCAGCTGCGGCGTCCCCTCATGCGGAACTCCCTGTGCACTTCCTCCCGGGCTCCGGTCCCCAACACCGTATCCGGGATGCAGCCTCCTCTGTCCGCTCCCCATAATTAGACGTGGCTTGGAGGCCAAGCTCTCCTGTAAACAGGATGCCCTGGTTTCCCTTGTGTGGGGCTACTCCAGGACACAGCGGGGCTTGGGGACCCCTGGGTGGACTTGTCCTGTCTCCATTCACCCCCTTTTGTCTCCTGCCATTGGTGGGACTTGAGGCAGTAATGGATTCTGGGGTTATTTTGCAGAGGACAGCAGAGCAGGGGCTTCAAGCTGAGGTCTGGGGACACACAGGCCTCTGGGCATGTTCCCAGTGTGGCTTTATGGGGCTCCGCGCGCCCACGCGAGCCGCCTTGCAGCACGGAGCTGGGTGGGTGTGAGAAGCTGTGGGACTCCCGAGCCTGGAGCTACCTGCCCATAGCGGGGGGTCCTGGGTCCCTGCTCCTTGCCCCTGGCAGGAGGTTGCCCCCTGCCCATGCCGACCCCACCAGGACTGGCCACAGGTGTCTGCTGGTGCTGCCGGAGACCCCAGCCCATGAGCCTGCAGGGTGGCGAGGGAGCTGAGCGAGAAAGTAGCCACGAAATAAGACCAGAGAGGGCCCGGCCAGAAAGGCGACCGGCAGGGATGGGCAGGGTGAGGTGCAGTGGGTGGCCACGGCCCTGTGCCAGCGGACACTGAGCTGGCCCCTGGGCAGAGGAAGGGTGGGGGGCTTCCTGGACAGACGGAACCCCCAGGGTGAGTGGGTGTCCCAGGAGCGGGAGACCCCACAGCCACAGAGGGCACAGCCGCAACCCCCCACCTGAGCGGCCATCTGGGAGACCCTGGGCTGAGTGTCCCCTGGCGGGACTGAACCCGAAAAGGGCCGAGGAGGCCAGGCCTCATGGGACACCAAGAGCTGCAGCCGGGAGAGGCTGCGCCCTAAAAGGCAAAGAATAACGGACAAAATCCCCAAATTTGACTGTTTTCAAGCTACACTTGCAGATCCGAGTCCCAGCACCCCCGGGGTCCCCAGAATGTACAGACAGGGACACTGGGGCGGCCTAGCAGCGGCCCGGAACGCAGGGCGCAGAGTGTGGAGAGCCAGCTGGGGTCCTCGCGCCCCACCCCTCCCCGCAGCCCGGCCCCGACCCCCGCGAGCTGGAGCAGAGGGGCACCGGCCGGGATGCTGCGTCCCCCAGAGGCTGAAGCCGGGCCGAGGAGGCGGACGTGTTCCCGGAAGCCCCGGGCCTGGAATGCTGCCTGCCGGGCACGGGGCGGGGCGTCGGCCACCAGCTGTCACCTGCGCGCGTGTCCCCGCAGCCCGGACGCCCCCGCAGCCTCTGTTTACGCCGCGCCCCTGGCCGGGCCGCGACCCTGCTATTTCCAGCCGCGTCACCAGGCAACGGCACAAACAGCCGGCGACAGCTGCGCCGGGGCCCGGCTTAGGAGCCCAGATCCTGTTCCTTCGCGGGCGCCCAGAACTGCCCCGCCCAGGGGTGCCGCCCGGCACCTCCAGCCCCAGCAGCTGGGGCCCCTCCCGATCCCCGCCAGGGGCAGCCGGAGGTCACGCACTGGGTCCACCTTGCGCGCCGCAGGCAGCCCGAGTCCCCTGTAATCGGGAAGGTGCCACAGTCCCCGAGACTGAGGTCATCGCTGGCCCAGGGTCCTCTCCCCGGGGATCAGTGGGGCGAGGCCTGGGCGAGGGGCGGGGGCACCCCTGAAGGCATGTGACCCTGCCCTACGGCACCAAGGGTTCCCCGTCTGCGGCCACCTTGACCCGCCACCCCGCTGGGCATGGCCTGCTCCTGCCCTGGGCCCCCAGCAGGACTCAGAAACCCCCCACGTCCACCCGCAGACCCTGCGCCCCTAAGCGCCCCGGAAGCTGGAGCCTTGGCGTTTCTGCCCAGCGCAGGCACCCCCGGGAGGCCAGCCCAGCTGTCCCTGCCCCTTCCCAGAGCGCAGACACCCCCAGCGCCTCCTTCTTCCTGCAGACTCTGACCCCAGCTGCCGGTGCTCGGAGCAGGAGGGAGCTTCAGGGGTGCGGAGCGGCTGCTAATTGAGTTGCAGGGTTTTCTTTGGGGTGATGAGAAGGTTCTGGAAACAGCACTGGGTGGCACAAGCAGGTAACTGTGCCGAATGCCCCAATCCTGCCCTTTAAAGGGGCTCCTTTTGTGAATTTCACCTCAACAAACGTAAGTAGCTGCGAAAACTTCAGCCCCCGCCCCCCTCCGGGGAGACACCCGAGTCCACGCGATCCTGCAGGCCAGGACACCCCTCCCGCCCCTGCGTCTGTCCTCACACCCCAGCCTCTGTGCAAGCCCATGCACAACCCCCAGTCCATGCAGCCCATGTGCACGGGTGTGCGCAGTTGTGTGTGGGTGTGTGCATAGGTGTGTGGACTCGTGCTCAGCACTCGGCCTGGGTGTCCACCCCACACACTAGTCGGCTCACATGCCAACACCTCACCCTGATGCACGTCACTTGCTCACACTCACACATTCACATAGGCTCACACTTACACGACACACTCACAGAAACACATACACACCTGCTCACACTCACACTCACAAATGCGTGGATGACGGAGGTGGTATGGAGATGGATGGATGATGGATGCATGAAGGACGCATAATGGATGATGAATGGATGATGGGTGGATGATGGATGATGGATGGATGGATGGATGATGGATGCATAGATGGATGGATGGATGATGGATGATGGATGATGGATGGATGGATGGTGGATGGATGATGGATGATGGATGGATGATGATGGATGATGGATGATGGATGGATGATGGATGATGGATGATGGATGGATGATGGATGATGGATGGATGATGGATGGATGGATGGATGGATGGTGGATGGATGATGGATGATGGATGGATGATGATGGATGATGATAGATGATGGATGATGGATGGATGGATGGATGGATAGATGGTGGATGATGATGGATGATGGATGATGGATGGATGATGGATGATGGATGGATGATGGAGGATGATGGATGGATGATGGATGATGGATGGATGATGGATGGATGATGGATGATGGATGGATGATGATAGATGATGGATGGATGATGGCTGGAGGATGGATGGATGATTGATGGATGATGGATGATGGACGTTGGGTGGATGATGGGTGGATAGGTGGGTGCGTGGGTGGGTGGGCGGGTGGATGGACAATGATGGATAATGGACAGGTGGAGATGTGGGGGTGTGGGCACACGGTGGACATTGGGTCAACACAACCCAGAACCCACATGACAGCCGGGAGACTTCGCCCACTCACCCCTCCCCTTTCAAAGCTCCACCAGCTGCCCCTCCCAGGGAGTGGGTCCCTGCCCCCACGGGGCCCTGGAACCCCTTTCGTGGAGCAGGTGCAAGTGGGCAGGTGTCCTGGGGAGGAAGCAGCTGGCAGGACTAAGCGGCCACTGGGGGTGGACCCGGCAGGACATGTGCTCCTGGGCCCGCAGCCCGCAGACTGAGCAAACCTGCCAGCCCGAGGGAGGGAGGAGCCCCGGCGGGGTCAGGGCCAGGAGGCCCCGGGCATAGAGGAGGTGGAGTGGAGAGGAGCGTCAGGGCAGAGAGGAGGCCCGGACCAGGGTCAGGCGCTGCCCCCCTCGCGCAGCCGCTGAGCGCCTGCCCCAGCAAGGGGTGTGCATGGGGGCCGGGAATGCAGGAGGCCTCAGGGCCTTCCCACGGGTCCTGCGCGTTTGGACTGGACCCTGCGCGAGGTTTCGGACGGGCGGGCGCTTAGGGTGTGGGCCCCGCGCGCCCTTCATCCCCCTGCGCCCACGAGATGGCCCGGGCGCAGCCCAGGGCCTGGAGCGCAGAGGTTGCCCAGGCGGGCACATCCCCTATCCCTGGGAACCCCGGGGTGCAGGAGCAGTGAGCCCAGGGGGGGTCCCCCGTGCGTCTTAGGCGAGAGTGCGGGGGGCCTTGGAGGGGTCCCCACTTTCATCGACCCTCGCTGTTCACCGCACCTTGGAAAGGGAGGCCGCATGGCCTCGGAAGGGTCCCCAGAGAGTGCGCAGCGGCCACGCAGGGCAGCGGGTGGGCATAGGGTCCCCCGAAAGCTGGGGTGTGGGGAGCCGCGGGCAGGCGCCGCGGGCGGGTCCCCTCAAAAGCGAGACAAGGAGGGAGCCGGGACGCAGAGGGGGCCCGGGAGGAAATGAAGCGGTTTTCCGGGGGCGCGTGACGAGGCGCGGCCGCCCGGCTGCTGACACCCGGCGGCGCTTTCGGCTGCTCTGGAAAAGCAGGTCGCGGAGCGCGGCGGGATGTTTTACATCAAGACGGGACATAAATGTCAAGGAGCGTGTTTTGTGGGTTTTTTTTCCCCTGCGGTGGAACTTTCTCCCATTAAAACGGCGAAGTTTTGTCCAGAGTTATTGCCTCCCTGGACAAAAAGCGCATTTTTGTCTCGGGGAGGAAAGCGCCGGCGAGGCCGGGGCGCGGGCGCGCGATGGGCAGGAATATGAGGCCATAAAGCAGCGGAAGGATAGGAGCGCGCGGACAGATTGAATTACGCACGGAGAGCCGAGCTGGGGAGGCAAGTTTCTTTATTGCGCCAGCTTCAGGAGCGTGTGATCAATAATGAAGTTTATGCATCCCGTCCTGCGACTTGATTAAAAAATTCTTGTCCGCATTAAGCCAGCCCCGCTCGCCCCAGGTAATGAAACAGCCGCGGGGCGCTCGGGGAGGCCCTGCGCGCCCCGCCCCCCGCCTGCACCCCCACCCGCGGGCCGCCTGGCCTCACCGGCCCCCGCGGGGGCGAGCGGACGCGCTGGACACCCAGGCCTGTGCTGGGCTCCATGCGCCGCGGCCGTGTCGGGGACTCCGGGGCGCTCCAGCGGGGGCGCGGGGAGTCCCATGCGCGCTTGGAGGGCCCCTGAGCGCACGTGCATGCCCCCCTCGCCTACGTCCGTCCGCAGTGCCCAGGGCCACCCACACCACCGGCGACCTTGTGGAGACGCGGGGAAGCCGGGCGCTGCAGGGGTGCGCTCGGGTGCGCACGTCCAGGCGCGCCAGGGGCGCCCTCCGGGGACGCTGGAGGGGTCCAGCGGGCCTGGACCAGGGAGGAAAGGCCCCGGGAACACGCCGCCTGGTGGACACAGCCTGCCCCGGGGCTGAGCCCCTGCCCGGAGCTGGCGCGCGCGGCTCAGGTACGCACCGCTGGCCCTGCGGGCCCCTCGCGGCACAGACTGCGGGACACGCGCGGCCCCGGGGCCAACTGCTCTGCGCGCACGCGCTGGGAACGGGTCCTGCGGGGGCTGCGGAGGCCCCGGGGAGCACCCAGGCCCTGACCCAGCCTGCCCTGGGGCCTGGCCCCCCCACCAGGCTCAGGGCGCGCGTGCATACACCCCACGGACACACACCTGCACACACACTCACACCCGCACACACATCCGCACTGGACGAATATGTGGGGTTCCGGGTCTCTCTGCCTCTGCTCCTGCTGCCGCTGGAGTAGGCACTGTCCCTGGGGCCCTGCCTGGACAACCTCACAGGGCCTGTGGGACACCCTCCCCCACCGAGGGAGGCGCTTGTCCTGGAGGCTCTGGAGGCAGGAGCCAGGGCCAGGAGTGGGTGGGGCTGGCTCATTTGGGGAGCCCAGAGTTTCCTCAGGCTGCTCTGCAGCCATGGGGCTCCCCCTGCACACATCGTCCACTCCCGGCCCCCACGCATGTGACCCTGTCCAAGACCCCTTGTGAAGAGGGCACAGGCCAGTGCCCCATAGCTCAGGCCTAGGGACCGCACCCAGTCTCTGCAGCTCCAGGGCCCAACCAGCCCCTGCTCCTTCCTGGGGCGAGGCCGCAGCTGAGGGGCTCGGGGGACACAGCTCGGCACAGACAGAGGCCGCCACCCCTGCACCCCTCTGCTTGGCTGTGGCCCTAGCTGGGGTGCCTCCACTCGGCCCTGGCACGCTGCCCCTCGCGGGGGCACCCCGGCACAGCTGTCTACCCTCCCTCCATCTGCGCAGCTGCTGGGGGCTTCAGCACCCGAGGCCCTCGTGCTGACTCTGAGGCTCTGTGGGCCAAGAGCTCGGCCTCTGGGGTCACTGTCCCCCTTTACGGCGGGTGTATGCCCTGGCATACTGGAGTCTGGACCTGGGAGCTGGCTCAGGGGGCTGGGGTATCCCCTCAGGACGGGGATCCGGGGATGTCATGTTTACACCCCCTAGAACCGGAATGAGGTGGTGCCGGCACAGGAGCGGGCAGCAGACAACCAGGGCGGGGATGTCTTCTGCCCCTAGCAGCCGCGCCCTCTGAGCGTCCTCAGCCGCCCTCCCGAAATAGCGCCTCTGCAGCCTTATCAGCTGGCCATGGCGGCAAATGCCGCCCCTCGCCTGCCCGTGCCGTCCGCGGTGTTTGCAGAGTGTTGAAATCCTGTCCAGAAATAAACTCCCCCCAGAGGCGCGAGGCGCCCCGGAGACGCGGCTGGCAGACCCGGCAGGCTCCCCTGTGGCTGTTTTCCCAGCTCCTCCTCTCCTGGGCAGCCTTGGGGGAAGGAGCGCAGGACAACTTCAGGGGGAGGGGACCCTGGACAGCCTTGCAAGAGACTAGTCAGCCTCAGACCCAGATAACCTCAAGGGGAGAGAGCCCAGGACAACCTCAGGGGGAGGGAGCCCTGCACAGTCTCAGCGGGAGGAGGCCTGGCCCAGCCTTATGGGGACTGGACAACCTCAGGCCTGGACAACCTCAGGGGAAGGGAGTCCAGGGCAACCTTGAGGGGAGGGGACAGTGCACAGCCTCACAGAGAAGTGGAGGGCCTTGGGCTCACATAACCTCAGGTGGACGGGACTCTGGACAACCTCAGTTGGAGGGGGGAGCCCTGGAAAATCTCATAGGGGACTGGACAGCCTCAGTCCTGGACAACCTCAGGGGAAGGGGGCCTGGACAACATCCTGGGGAGGGGACCCTGCACAGCCTTGCAGGGAAGGGGGTCCTCGCAAACTCGGGGGAGGGAACTCTGGATCTGCACCCCGTTTTCCTTGCCAACATGCTGTCACTGGTGACAGGACAAGGAGATCCCCGGCCCTGCCTTCTGCACTGCATAGCAGACCGAACGGCCTCTGCCGTCCCCCCAGGGTGGGCACACCCCAGCACCGGACACGTCCCTGCACCACCGGTCACCCCGGTGCTGAGGGGCACTTTCCAATGAAGCTGCAGCCCTTCCCCGGGAATCGGGAATCGATTCTATTTGATCATAGACACCTCTGGGGACAGGAAATGGAGCTCAGGTGGCTGAAGGCAAGTGGGGATGAGGGCGCGGGCTCTGGAGGTCAGCAGGGAAGCCCCGCAGCTGTGCGGCGTCCCCCTCGGTCTCCCCGCACATGCCCCGCCTGCTTCCTCCCAGCACCCGCTGCAGCCATTTGGCGCTGCCTGATCAGACCCACGGAACCAGGTGCTCTGAGGAGCAGACGCGGCATGAGAGGGTGTCCCGGCCTGCTGCAGCCCTAGGAGTGCAGCAGTGGGGATGAGGGGTGTCCCGGCCTGCTGCCAGGGCCTCCATCCTGAAGCTCCCCGCTTTTCTCAGCCCTCCTGCCCCCTTTCACATCCCTGAGCGGGGGATTGAGGTCACACTTTGCCCCACAAGGCCCCGGCACCCGGTGCACTTATGATGCCATGCACCAGCCGGTTCTCTCTGGTTCCAGAACATTCTCATCCCCCAAGGAGGGTGCCCCTGCGCTTCCCCCCTCAGCTCCCGCTCACCACCCCCTCCTTTGCCTGGGGGTTCCCGAGCCTGGCTCTGCCCGCGTCCGGCACGCAGGAACCGGAGCGCTGCAGTTCGCAGGACAGGGAAGCCAGGCCTCGGCAAGCAGGTAATTATGGACCCGGGCTTTGATCTCCGGCAGCAGAAACCAAATATTCCAGAGCAGAGGTGAAGCCGGGGCCAGACTCCACCCCACAGGGCCGCAGGCATCTGCATCTCTCAGCCAAGGAAGGCACACGGACCCCGGCACGGGTGCAAGGGCGCGCAGGGTGGGCTCCGGGTGGAAGGCTGAGGCCCTTTCCCCCTGTTCGGCCCCCCTGGAGGCGGCAGTGGCAGTATCTCCAGGGGCTCCACCTGCCCCTCCGCCCGCTCACCTTTCTCCCCTCCACGGACCAGGCCCGGGCAAAGCCGCCCTCCAGCCAGGCCGACTGCAGATCCGCCAAGGGGGCAGGGCACACCCGGCTGCGGCCTCGGGCGCCACAGCACCCCTCTGTTCTGTCCAGCGGGCAGGGCCCGCCCACACGGCACACAAGGTGCGCTCTGTTCCCTCGTGGCCCGTGGCACAGGCCCCACCGCCCGGCCGGCACATAAAGCCGACTTGTGCGGATGTCCAAGCCCGTCCCAGCCACGGATGAATGGACAGTGCCTGGCAGCTGGCGGGGGCGCACAGACCAGCCCGCAGACCCCCAGGCGTCTGCGTGTGACACACACACACCAAGCTAGAGCCTGCTCTCCAGAGAGGACCACGTGCCCACACATGCACACTCACGCGTGCACACGTGCAGCACATTTGCGCACATGCACATGTGTAGTGCACACACGCACAGGCGAGCGCCCATGTGCAGCACGTGCACGCTGTCGCACGCGCACACGTGCACGCGTGCATCGCAGGCACAGGCGCACAAGTGCACGCACGCACGCGCACAGACACCCCTGCACACTCACGCCACATGCACGCTCGCATATACGCGTGCACGCACGCGCACATATGCACTTGCACACACGTGCACGCGCGCGCACTGGCTCACTGGAGCACAGACGCGACAGGGCAGGATTTTGCACGTGCAGCCCGCCAGGCACGGACCAGAGGGGCCCGGACGGAAGGAGCTGCGGCTCCCCCCTCCGAGGTGGTTCGTGCAAACACAAAGCAGCTCGTCCTCGCCCCAAACAGTCGCTGCGTGAGGTGTTTGCCCGCCTCCGGCCAATCACGGCCGTGCACTAAGCAAGGTCAACGTCCGCGGGCCGCAGCCGCCGAAAGCGGCGCCTTTTGCCCAAAAGCTGCAGCCCCGCGGCCGCGCGCAAGCTCGCTCCCGGGCTCGGAGGCGCGCACGGGACGGGCCCGCCCGCGTGGTGGCGGTGCGCACTGCGCATGCGCTCGCCAGCCTGCCCGCACACGGAGGGTCTCTGGAGCGCCTTCAGCGGCACACACTGCGCATGCTCCGCCCGCTCTCGGCGGCACGCACTACGCATGCCCTGCTCCCAGGCGCTAAACACTCGGGAACACGCGGGCCACAGGTACGCAGTGCGCATGCTCGCAGCGCCGCGGCCTTCAGGGGGACCCCTCCGGCTGGGCCACACCCCGAAAAAAAACCTCAAAGCAGGAGGACCCCCGGTGGGGCGGCCACCGCCCTCACCCCGTCCCTCAACGTCCCGGCCCCTCCAGAGCTCCCCGGAGACCCCGGCAGCCCGCCGCCACGGAAGGGGGGGGCGCGCGGGCGCCTCCGTGATGACGCCACACGTCGCGGTGACGCGGGACGTGGGCGACCGCTGTGGGGGCGCGGCCGGCGCGCCCGTTTTGAAGCTGCCGGGAGCCGAGCCCGCCGCGCGCCAGCGGGGCCCGCCCGCCGCCGCCGGGACCCGCGACCCCGAGGCCGGACCGGCCGCCGCCGCCGCGGACCCGGGCCTGGGACCCCTCGGGCCGCCGGCGCCGCGCCCGGAGACCCCCGGCCCCCGCCGCCGACCCGCGCCCTCGGCCGGAGTCCTGGGGCGCCGCCTGCTCCCCGAAGCGCCTCCGGGCCGCACCCGGGGCCCGCTGCCCCCTGGGGCGCACTGCCGGGAGCCTCCTCTGCGGACAGGGGTGCCCGAGCCCGGGGAGTCTCTCGCTGAGGACAGGGCGCACGAGCCCCGGGGACCCCCGCTGAGGACAGGGGCGCCCGTGCCCAAGGAGCCCCCCGCTGAGGACAGGGGCGCACGAACCCCGGGGGACCCCCGCTGAGGACAGGGGCGCCCGTGCCCCAGGAGCCCCCCGCTGAGGACAGGGGCGCCCGTGCCCCAGGAGCCCCCCGCTGAGGACAGGGGCGCCCGTGCCCAAGGAGCCCCGGCTGAGGACAGGGGCGCAGGAACCGGGGAGCCCCCGCCGCGGACGGGGCGCCCCGCCATGCCGCCCGGCAAGGTGCTGCAGCCGGTGCTGAAGATGAAGGTGGACGAGCTGTTCCTGCGCTGGCTGAGCGAGGCGAGCACGCAGCGGACGCTGCACGACTGCCTGCGGCGCATCCAGGCGCCCGCGCGGCCCGAGCGGGGCGCGGGGGACGCGGGGCCCGCGCCCGCCCCGCCCGCCCGCGCGCCCGACGCCCCCGGCGCGCTGCCCCTGGGCGCCCCCGCCAGCCCCAGGACCGGGCCGCACGCGCGGGGGGCGCGGAGATCGGCCGCGAGCAGAGCCGTAAGTGTCGCCCGCGCGCCCCGGCGCCGTGCCAGGGTGTGCGCGCCCCTGTCCCGGGCGGGTGGGGCCGAATTCGGGGTCTGCTTTGCGTTTCCGCGGGGACCTGTGGTTCCCCGGCTCGGAGAGGGAGCCGGGACTTGACCCTCGCCCCCTGGCCTCGTGCTTGCTCTGTCCACAGCGTAGGAGCGCTGGAGGGCGCAGGTTAGCAGGTGCCTGCTCTCCTTGGAAGGACACGCCCTCTGTCCCGCCGGCGCCATGTGTGCAAACGGGGGTCCCTGTCCAGGTCGGGAGGCTCACCCGAAAGTCTCTGCAAGGACTTTGGGAAGTAGAGGGACACGGTCCAGAGGCCACGGCGGAGACCCCGCAGATGTGTCCAGAGGCCTGTCCCACCAGCAGGGCCACAGGCCACACCCCTGAGCACTGCGCTGACCCCATCGCCTCCCCCAGCTGGAAACTGGGGCCTCACAAGCTCCCCCGAGTCCCCAGCCCTCGAACCCAGACATTGGCACGTGGGAGGGCCAGGGCCCAGAGGCCGCTTCCAGGGTGGCCCGACCTCCTGATACCCTGACTGGGTTCTTACCTGGTTGCATCCCGGCTCAGCGCCGCGGAGCCATCTGGACCTGCCTGGGCTGGGGAGAGAGCCACGGACAGGGGCCTGGTTCCATGGGGGGCGGGGCAGGCCCCATGAGGGCGAGTGCAGGGGCCCTAAGGAGGTGGATCTGGAACTGGTCTTTGGGGAGGACGCGGGCACTCGGCCCGACCCTGCACACAGGCCCCAGGCTGCTCCCCTGCCGTGCGTGATTGTCTCCGGCCCTCCACCTGCGGACCCTGGCGCTTCCCTGGGCACTGAGCAGGCTGGCCTGACCCCTGGGCGTACCCCGTGCACCCGGGCCAGCCTCCCTGGTCTGGCGGCTGACCCGTTACCTGCCCCCAGTGTCTGCATCGCCGCCGCCCCCCCCCCCCCCCCCCCCCGGTGTCTGGTGTCTGTCCACCTGGGCCGGCTGTTGGCTCTCCCGGTGCAGCTGCTTGTCCCTGCCTCTGCCCGCGGCGTGCCAGCATCTGCCCTCTGGGTCCCTGCTGTCCCGGGAGGGCCGGGGGCTGGGGGGGGGGGGAGGTCGACGTGGTGAAGTCCAGCTTTTTGGTTGGGGTCACTCACCCCCAAAGTGCAGCCAATGGTCCAAGCAGCCCCTGCGGCCCCGCGTGAGAGGGCCTGGGCCGCTGTCCTGGGAGGGCTGCGGGCCTCACCTGCCCGCAGGCCTCACCTGCCCGCGGCCCTCCCTGGCCTGTGCGCACCTGGGCAGCCCCGTGCCGTGTCCTGGTGGGGGACGGCCTTGTCCCCATCGGGTGTTCTGGAAAGACGGCCCCAGGGGTCTGCCCACCCCTCCCAGCCACGGCACACCCTGACCTGCACCCCGTGGTGGGCGGGGTCCCTGCTGGTGAGCGGCCGGCAGCCTCTGGTTTCTGAGGTCCGGGAGCCTGTCCCTCTGGCGGCACTTGCAGGGGCTCTTGCTGCCGCGGTTTCCCCTAGAGCCTGCAGAGAAGCCTGTGCGGGGCCTGGTCCCTGCTGACCTGGGGGCGCCGCCGGCCTGGAGGAGCCTCCTGCGGTGGGGGGGGGGGGCTCAGCAGGGTCCGCAGGGGCTGGCGCTGACCACCAGGTGCCTGGTTCCCGCCCCGAGGTGGCCCCTTCCCCAGCACCCACCTGAGTTCTCGCCCTGGTGGTCCAGGCGGCGGAGGGTGCAGGACGCCTGGAGCCGCGGGATGGGAGGGGAACAGAGGACCCCCCCTCTTCCAGGCCCCCCTTTCAAGCCCAGGGGCCTGCCTCAGACTGTCCCCTTGGAGGGAGGGTGAGCTGGGGAGACTCTCCAGGAACCCCCATGCCGCATCTCTCTGCCCACGCCCTCGGGGCGCCTTCTCTGAGCCCCTTCACCTCCCGGGGGCTGCGGGTTCTTCCTGGCCGGTGCATCTGCCTTGCTCTGGAACCACTGGGGTTCCCTGGCGGGGCCTTTGGGGGTTGTGCTGCAGCGCCTGCCGGGGTGCTGGTTTCTCCCTGGGGGCGCAGGCTGCGGGAGGGCTGTTTGGGGCACCTGAGCCCTCTCCTGAGTAGCCGCAGCGCTTCCCGCGCCCCCTTTCTCCCAGACCTTAAGGCGCCCTTGGTGGACCGGGTGTTGCCTGCCCGGCGCCCTCGGGCTCCAGGTTTCCGAGGCCACAGCTGCCCGGGGCGCCGACCGGGCGCGGGGACACCGTCGTCTCCGCACTGTCCCGCGCGCCCCGACCCCGCCCGCCCGCCCGCCCGCCCGCGCCGTCCGGCCGGGCAGCTCCCGCCCGAGCCGCCCAGAGCCGCCGGCCGCGCCCTCGCGCGCCTGCCCGCGCGGACAGACGGCAGCTGCCCGGCCGCTCGCGCCAGCTGCCGCCCCCCCGCCGCCCCCGCCTGCGGAATGCGCTGGCCCCCGGCCGGCCCAGAGCGCCCGCCGGCGACGCATGGAGCGCGCTGAGCCCGGCCGCCCGGACCGTCCCGCCGGCCGCGGCTGCCGCCCCGAGCCCGCCGGCCCCGGCCAGGCCCCGGCCCGCCCCGGGCCCCGGCGGCCCGCGCGCGCCGACGGCATGCGGCTGCGGGAGCTGTCGCTGCGCCAGGACCCCGACCTGCGGCAGGAGCTGGCCTCGCTGGCCCGCGGCTGCGACTTCGTGCTGCCCTCGCGCTTCAAGAAGCGGCTCAAGGCCTTCCAGCAGGTCGGCCGGGCGGGGGCGCCGGGTGTCCCGCCGCGCTCAGGGGCGCCCGGCCTCTCTCCCTGCGCGCCGCGAGTCCCCGGCCCGGGTTAGGCCAGAGTGTCCCCCCCAGCGGGCTGGCGGCCTCGCGCGGGCTGCAGCTCCCCCCGCGTCCCCTGCGCCCCCCTGCGCCCTTTTGCCGGGGGATCTTCTCAGGCGGGCGGGCGGCGCTCCTGCTGCCCCCGCGGAGGGAGGGCGTCGGGGCGCACAGCCCCCCAGTGGGGTTCCCCCCCCCCCCCCGCCCAGCAGGGCATTGGCAGGGGGCTCTGCGGAGAGGCTCCCGGTCCCAGCGCAGCAGCTGCGAGGCGGCGCCTTTCAGGCCTCCCCGACCCTCAAATTGCTCCAGAGCCAAAGCCCAAGTTGGTGCCCACGCGTGGGGCGCATGGGGGATGGAGAGCACCCCGTAATTTAAGTCACGCGGCTTCCTGGGACTCCCGCGGGTGCTTGGGGCGCTGGGGCAGAGGTCGGGGCAGGACCCGGGCACTCGGGGCGCGGGTGCCGCAGGTGTCGGGCGTGCAGAGCCCGAGGGCCTCGGGACCCGGACGCTGCACAGAGGTCCCGGGGTGCAGCAGCAGGGGGCACGGGGCAAGCCTGGGTGCAGGGCTCGGGATCCTGGGGCGCTGCGGGAAGGACGGGGTGGGGGCTCTGAGCGCAGGGCTGTGGGGGCGGGGCTGGGCACCCCACCACCCCCCCCCCCCCCCCGCGGTCTGTCTGTTCAGGGGTGCGGGGGTCTCCTGTGCAGGGAGTCCGAGGGCCCCGCCTGGCGGGGAGCAGGGTCTGCGCCCATCAGGCCATACCTGCGACCCACCCCCTCCGGGGTCTGGAGGCCACTCGGGACGCTCCTGGGGTCCCTTCGGCGGCGGGGCGAGTCCAGGGGAGCCCGCCTGCGCCCCTCCCTCCCCGCCTCGGCGACTCCCGGAGTCTGTGTCCACCGGGGTGGCGGGGTGGGACCCCAGCCCGGGGAAGGGAAGGGCTGACCCCAGGCGCCCCCCGGCTGGGGTTGGCGGGGCGCGCCTTCTGCGGGGGGGGGGGCGTCGAGGGGCCCAGGGGGGAGAAGCGTGTTCCTGCTGCTGCAAAGTCGGGGTGCTTGCGTGCGGCTGGGGCGGTCGCGGCTGAGCCCGCATCCTCCAGAGTGAAGGGGGGGAGGGGTGAGGGACGCTGGGGGTGCAGGACCTGGGGGAGTCCGGCGTGGGGGAGGGCGGCGGGTGTGCGGGTCCCGCCTGCAGCCGCGCTGCGCCCCCTCACGTGCGCGGGGGCCGGGCGTGGTTGGGGCGGCCCCAGCGCCCAGCAGGCCCCGCCCCGGAGCCCGGTGTCCGGCTCTGTGGGTGACACCTGACTCCTGCGGGGAGCGCTCAGGCTGTGGCCTGCGCCCCGGAGGTGGGCCCGGTCTGTGGAGGGGTGCGCGGGGCACGGGGTGCCCTCGGGCGACCAGCCCCACCCCCGCAGTTGGTTCCCTTTTCGGGTCCCGACTTCTTCACGCAGCGCGCCCCTTCCCTGGCGGGGAGCGCAGGCACCCTGGGGTGGGGAGGGAGCTGGGCGCGCTCTGAGCCAGGATCGCGCGAGTCTCCAGTCCAGCCTCTGGCTGCTCTCCGCCCCCTCAGACCCGGGCACCTGGGTGCACAGAGCCCCGGCGGGGTCCCCCAAATTCCGGCCGGGGCTCGGGAGGCAGGAGGCACGCAGGTGTGCAGGGCGCTCTGCAGTGTGTGCGCCTGGGTGCTGGGGCCCTTCTGGGTGCCGGGCACCTCCTCCCGCGCGCGTGGAGCCCTCCTCTGCACATAGACTCCTCCTCCGCGCACGGACCCTCCTCCTTGCATGGACCCTCCTCCGCGCACGGACCCTCCTCCCGCGCGTGGAGCCCTCCTCTGCTCATAGACTCCTCCTCCGCGCACGGACAGTCCTCTGCACATAGATCCCTCCTCCCGCGCGTGGACCCTCCTCCGCGCACGGACCCTCCTCCCGCGCGTGGAGCTCTCCGCGCTGGGCCCCGGGGGCCTGTCCACTGCGTCTCCAGCCGGGCGCGCGGGGTCCTTGCGCCTCGGGTCTCACGGCGCCCCGTCCCGGCAGGTGCAGACCCGCCAGCAGGAGCCGCTGCCGCCCGCCGGCAGCCAGAGCATCCCCGCCTTCTACTTCCCGCGGGGCGGCCGAAGGACGCGGCCAGCGTGGACGCCGCCATCGCCAGGGTCGAGCGGGCCTTCGCGCAGTTCCCGCAGGAGCGCGCCGCCATGGAGGACATGGCCTCGTGGCCAAGGTGCGGTGGGGGCGGGGCGGGCGCGGGGGGCGGGGCCAGGGCGCGCCTTGGGGCGCAGGCGCTGACCCCCGCGTCCCCCAGGCCTGCGGCTGCCCCCTCTACTGGAAGGGGCCGCTGTTCTGCGCGGCGGGCGGCGAGCGCACGGGCTGCGTGTCGGTGCACAAGTTCGTGGCCATGTGGAGGAAGTGAGTGCCCGGGGCGCGGGCGCGGGCGGGGGCGGGGCGCGCCCCCCTCCGCCTGACCGCGCCTCCCGCAGGGTCCTGCACACCTGCCACGACGACGCCGCCAGGTTCGTGCACCTGCTCATGAGCCCCGGCTGCAACTACCTGGTGCAGGAGGACTTCGTGCCGTTCCTGCAGGTGTGTGGCCCGCCCCCCCCAGGACCCCCCCGCCCGCCGCCCCCACACGGCACTCACGCACCCCTCCTACAGCGCCCCGCGTCTACACCGCACATCTCACCCCTTCCTACAGACAGGTGCTGTCTACACCGCAAAAACTCACTTTTGAAAGGTATGTTCCAGCGTCTACACCACACGCATCCGTTCTCAGGGCACGTTCCTCGCCTGCACCCACGTGGGGGGGAGCGCCCCCTCCCAGGGCCTCTGCTCCCAGGCTGCGCGGTGGGCCCGGCTGGTGGCCTCAGGCCGGCCGGCCGGCGCACCCGTCTCGTCGGGCGTGGCCTCCTCCCGGCCAGGAGACGTTAGGGAGGCCCAGGGGCTGCGAGGCCGGCTCTGAGGGCCCGGGGTCCACTTGCCTTGGAAGCAGGTGTCTGGCTCAGGCCAGGCGCTCCTGTCCTCACGGCCCCTCTGGGGCAGCGCCCAGCGCCCTCCACGCTGTGCTGGGGCGGCCGGGCAGGTGCGGGGCAGAGCCCGGGGCCGGGCAGGTGCGTGGGGGGCGCGGGCGCCCGAGGCCTGTGCTGGAGGCGGCGGTGGCCCAGGACTCAGGACCGAGGGCCTCAGCGCCTGTGTCTCGCCTAGGACGTGGTCAACACGCACCCCGGCCTGTCCTTCCTGAAGGAGGCGTCCGAGTTCCACTCGCGCTACATCACCACGGTGAGCACTCGGGGGCCGCGTACCCCGGGCACAGGTCCGCAGCACTCGTGTCCTCGGTCCACCAGTGTCCGGGGCACAGGGTTAGGGTTAGGGGCGCACAGGGGCCCCGCCGGGTGGGGGGCCAGGAGCTCCTGGGGCGGGCGCCCATGTCTGGCTGCACCTCAGGGGCGGGAGGGCACCGGCTAGTCCTCCTGGCAGGGCCGGGCGTGGGCAGGGCGGCGGGGGCACCCCGAGAGCAGCAGGCCCACGCTGTCCTGGCTCCCCAGCCGGGGTGACCACCCACCTCCTGCCCGCCGACCCTTGCTGGAAGCCTGAGGGGCGCACTCCAGCCTTGGGCCCGTGTCCTGCCCGCCCTGGCCCAGGTGGGATGTCTCAGGTGCCCCCAGGAGCCGACCTGGGGTGCGGGGTCACCGTCGATCCGTAGAGCCCCCTGCATCCCCGGCGCGTGCAGCTCCTGGGAGCCGGGTCTGATGCGTGTGCGGGGCGCCCTCTGCCGGCCGCTGCTGGCGCCGCGGGTTCTCCATGCGCTGGGGGGGCCATGGGGTGCCCTCCTCCCCCAGCCCCCAGGTGGCCGCCCACACTGAGCGACCCCCTCCCGCAGGTCATCCAGAGGATCTTCTACACGGTCAACAGGTCGTGGTCGGGGCGGATCACCTGCACGGAGCTGCGCAGGAGCACCTTCCTGCAGGTGGGCAGGCGGCGCAGCCACACCCCTGCGTCCAGCACCTCCTCCCCCTCGCCCCAGCACCCCTTCCTGCTGTCCACCCCAGCGCCCCTTCCCGCTGTCCACCCCCTCACCCCAGCGCCCCTTCCCGCTGTCCACCCCCTCGCCCCAGCGCCCCTTCCCGCTGTCCACCCCTTCCCGCTGTCCACCCCCTCGCCCCAGCGCCACTTCCCGCTGTCCACCCCTTCCCGCTGTCCACCCCCTCGCCCCAGCGCCCCTTCCCGCTGTCCACCCCTTCCCGCTGTCCACCCCTCGCCCCAGCGCCCCTTCCCGCTGTCCACCCCCTCGCCCCAGCGCCCCTTCCCGCTGTCCACCCCTTCCCGCTGTCCACCCCCTCGCCCCAGCGCCCCTTCCCGCTGTCCACCCCTTCCCGCTGTCCACCCCCTCGCCCCAGCGCCCCTTCCCGCTGTCCACCCCTTCCCGCTGTCCACCCCCTCGCCCCAGCGCCCCTTCCCACTGTCCACCCCCTCGCCCCAGCGCCCCTTCCCGCTGTCCACCCCCTCGCCCCAGCGCCCCTTCCCGCTGTCCACCCCCTCGCCCAGCACACCCTTCCCGCTGTCCACCCCCTCGCCCCAGCGCCCCTTCCCGCTGTCCACCCCTTCCCGCTGTCCACCCCTCGCCCCAGCCCCTTCCCGCTGTCCACCCCCTCGCCCCAGCGCCCCTTCCCGCTGTCCACCCCTTCCCGCTGTCCACCCCCTCGCCCCAGCGCCCCTTCCCACTGTCCACCCCTCGCCCCAGCGCCCCTTCCCGCTGTCCACCCCTTCCCGCTGTCCACCCCCTCGCCCCAGCGCCCCTTCCCACTGTCCACCCCTCGCCCCAGCGCCCCTTCCCGCTGTCCACCCCCTCGCCCCAGCGCCCCTTCCCGCTGTCCACCCCCTCGCCCCAGCACCCCTTCCCGCTGTCCACCCCCTCGCCCCAGCGCCCCTTCCCGCTGTCCACCCCTTCCCGCTGTCCACCCCCTCGCCCCAGCGCCCCTTCCCGCTGTCCACCCCTCGCCCCAGCGCCCCTTCCCGCTGTCCACCCCTTCCCGCTGTCCACCCCCTCGCCCCAGCGCCCCTTCCCACTGTCCCCCCCTCGCCCAGCGCCCCTTCCCGCTGTCCACCCCCTCGCCCCAGCGCCCCTTCCGCTGTCCACCCCTTCCCGCTGTCCACCCCTCGCCCCAGCGCCCCTTCCCGCTGTCCACCCCTTCCCGCTGTCCACCCCCTCGCCCCAGCGCCCCTTCCGCTGTCCACCCTTCCCGCTGTCCACCCCTCGCCCCAGCGCCCCTTCCCGCTGTCCACCCCTTCCCGCTGTCCACCCCCTTGCCCCAGCGCCCTTCCCACTGTCCACCCCCTCGCCCCAGCGCCCTTCCCGCTGTCCACCCCCTCGCCCCAGCGCCCCTTCCTGCTGTCCACCCCTTCCCGCTGTCCACCCCCTCGCCCCAGCGCCCCTTCCCGCTGTCCACCCCTTCCCGCTGTCCACCCCCTCGCCCCAGCGCCCCTTCCCGCTGTCCACCCCTTCCCCTGTCCACCCCCTTGCCCCAGCGCCCCTTCCCACTGTCCCCCCCTCGCCCCAGCGCCCCTTCCCGCTGTCCACCCCTCGCCCCAGCGCCCCTCCCTGCTGTCCACCCCTTCCCGCTGTCCACCCCCTCGCCCCAGCGCCCCTTCCCGCTGTCCACCCCTTCCCGCTGTCCACCCCCTCGCCCCCCCCGCGCCCCTTCCCGCTGTCCACCCCTTCCCGCTGTCCACCCCCTCGCCCCAGCGCCCCTTCCCGCTGTCCACCCCTTCCCACTGTCCACCCCTCGCCCCAGCGCCCCTTCCCGCTGTCCACCCCCTCGCCCCAGCGCCCCTTCCCGCTGTCCACCCCTTCCCGCTGTCCACCCCCTCGCCCCAGCGCCCCTTCGCGCTGTCCACCCCCTCGCCCCAGCGCCCCTTCCCGCTGTCCACCCCGAAGGCAGGGCCGGCCCTGCTCTGACCCTGGGGACCGCGGCCCGTCCCCGGCCGGTGTGTCAGCCCCTCCCGTGTGCGCAGAACGTGGCGCTGCTGGAGGAGGAGCCGGACATCAACCAGCTGACCGAGTTCTTCTCCTACGAGCACTTCTACGTCATCTACTGCAAGTTCTGGGAGCTGGACACTGACCACGACCTGTTCATTGACGCGCAGGACCTGGCGCGCCACGGCGACCACGGTGCGGGGCGGGGCCCACAGAGATGGGGCCCCTCGCGGGCGGGAAAGGCACGGGGCGGGGCCCGTGGAGAGGGGGCCGGGAGCCGTGTGGCCAGGCCGTCCATTTCCTCGCCACCCTCGACTGCTCGGCCTTCCAGAGCCAGCTCCCCTTCCCTGCGGCTCCCCCTTCTCCGGGCAGGCGCCCCAGCCATGTGGACACAGCCCGTGCCCCCCGAGTGGGGACGGGACCCGTGGCCGCACACCCCACCCCACGTCCCGGGCTATGTGGTGTCCACCGTCTGCATGGCCCATGGGGCGGATGCGCCGTGTGTCCCGTGGTCTCCAGCTGGCAGCTGAGGGGTCTCCCCAGTCCACCCCGAGGGCCCCTCACGCCAGGCCGGGCGCAGCCCCCCTGCTGAGCATGCCACGCTGCCCCGCCGGGCTTGTCGGCGTTATCGGGGTAGGGACTCGTGTCCTCTCCTGTCCTTGCAAGGACTGGGGTGCAGAGCCCTGACCCACTCGCTGGGGGGACCCTGCTCCCAGACAGGCCGCTGCGGTCAGGACTAGCCCTGTCTTTCCGGAGACGCGGCTCAGCCTGTGGCGCCCCTGGACAGGTGCCCTCCTGACGCCCGCTGAGGGGGGACAGAGGTGGGGGCTGGACAGGTGCCCTCCCGGGACAGAGGTGGGGGCACCGGGGAGGAGCGTCCACACCCCAGGAGGGAGGTCGGGAGGAGCAGCCGCCCCACAGGCCGGACATTGTGGCGCTCACTTTGGGGTGCGCGGTGCTGGCCGGGCCAGGTGGGGGTGCTGCGTGCCGGGCACCCCCAGGCCGGCGCCCCGGACAGGCCGCCCGCTGACCCCGCTTCCTCCGCAGCCATCTCCTCCAGGATGATCGAGAGGGTGTTCTCCGGCGCCGTGACGCGGTACGCGCCCCGGGCCTCGCCGTGGGCAGGCGGGGGGCGCGCTCTCCTGGCCGGGGCGCGGTGGGGGCGCCTGGTGGGGTGGGGGCACGGGCCCCCCGCTGAGGCGCGGGTCTGCGCGCAGGGGCCGGAAGGTGCAGAAGGAGGGGAGGCTGAGCTACGCCGACTTCGTGTGGTTCCTCATCTCCGAGGAGGACAAGAAGACCCCCACCAGGTGGGCGTCGGGCGCCCCCCCTGCCCGCCCGCCCGGGGTCTCCGCGGGGTCCGGCCCGGGCGAGGGTCCGCGGGGAGGAGGCCTTCCTGGGCGGGCGCTGGCGGGGGGCGCGGGGCGCTGGCGGGGGGCGCGGGGCTCTGGCGGGGGTGCGCGTCTCAGCCTGGGGCCCGCAGGGTCCGGCTCCGGGTTTGCGCGGGGCTCAGGCGGGGCTCGATGGGGGTCGGGGGCGCCAGGGGGGCCTCACGCCGGCCCGCCCGCAGCATCGAGTACTGGTTCCGCTGCATGGACCTGGACGGGGACGGGGCGCTGTCCATGTTCGAGCTGCAGTACTTCTACGAGGAGCAGTGCCGCCGGCTGGACAGCATGGCCATCGAGGCCCTGCCCTTCGGGGACTGCCTGTGCCAGATGCTGGACCTGGTCAAGCCCGAGAGCGAAGGTAGGGGGGGGGGGCCGGGGCGGGGCTCCCCAGCCGCGTCCCCCGCGCCGCGGTTCCCCCAGCACCGAGCCCGCTCGAGTGCGACGGGCCCTGCGCCTGGGCCGCGCCCCGGGCCCCCGGCTGGGTCCCGCCCGCGCCGAGCTGGAGCCCGCGGGCCGCGCAGGCCTGACCGCAGCCCCCGCAGGGAAGATCACGCTGCGCGACCTGAAGCGCTGCCGGCTGGCGCACGTGTTCTTCGACACCTTCTTCAACATCGAGAAGTACCTGGACCACGAGCAGAGGGAGCAGGCCTCCCTGCTCAGGGTGAGGCCGCGCGGGCGGGCGCGGGGGCGGCAGCGCGTCTGCTGGGCCGTGGGCCGTGTGCGCGCGAGCCTGGGCCGTGGCCGTGTGCGCAGCTGCTGTGCCGTCTGTCATGTGCCGTCTGCGCGCCTGCTCTGTGCCGTGTGCGCGGCTGCTGTGCCGTCTGTCATGTGCCGTGTGCGCGCGAGCTGGGCCGTGTGCGCGCGAGCCTGGGCCGTCTGCGCGTCTGCTCTGAGCCGTGTGCGCGCGAGCCTGGGCCGTCTGCGCGTCTGCTCTGAGCCGTGTGCGCGCGAGCCTGGGCCGTGTCCCTGCGAGCCTGGGCCGTGTGCCGTCTGCTCTGAGCCGTGTGCGCGCGAGCCTGGGCCGTGGGCCGTGTGCGCGCCTGCTGTGCTGTCTGCCGTGGGCCGTGCGCGCGCCTGCTGGGCCGTGTGGTCCGCGCGCGCGCTGGGCCGTGACGTGGCGGGGCGTCCCTGCAGGAGGGCGACGGCGACGGCCCCGAGCTCTCGGACTGGGAGCGCTACGCCGCGGAGGAGTACGACATCCTGGTGGCCGAGGAGGCGGCCGGGGAGCCGTGGGACGACGGGTGCGTGCGGGGCGGGGCGGGGCGGGCGCCCCACGACCCGGGGTCTGGCCTTGCGGAGGAGGCGGGCGGGCAGCAGCTCCGCTGGGGCTTGGCCGGAGCGCAGGGTCCCCGTGTGCGGTGGGCGCGGCCGCAGGGCCGGGCAACAGCGGGGGGCACCCCGCGCGCCGTGGGTGGGCTCCGGGGGCTGTTGGCGAGCGCCCCGGGCCCCTCACCCGCCGGCGGGGGCGGGGGAGCACCTGGCGGGACCCCCACCCCCTCCCGGGGCCGGCCTTGTCCTCACGGCGCGCCCTGCAGGTACGAGGCGGAGCCGAGCCCGGTGGACACGCTGAGCGGGCTGCGGTCCCCGCTGGCCCAGAGGCCCTTCTTGGAGCTGCCCGGCGCCCTGGGCGACGTGGACCTGTTCGAGTACGACAGCGCGGACGAGGACCTGCCGCCCTGAGCGGCGCGCGGCGCCAGGGAGAGGACGCGCGGGCGCGGCGGCCACGCGGGGGGCCCGCGCCCTCGGCCTGTTTATTCCGCGTCCGGGGGGCGCGCGGCCAGCGGCCTGGAGCCGGACCTCGCGGCGCTGGCGGCCCCGCCCCGCCGGGCCAGCGCCGGACTCGCGGGAGCCGGAGCTCCCGGCCGGGGCGCTGCGCGCGGGGCGCCGGCCCTTCCCGCGGCGGCGGGAGGACGTTCCAGGGGCGCGTTTGTTTGTATGTTGCAATAAAGAGGCTGCGGGTTCCAGGTCCTCTCGGGCCTCCTGCGCGCCCAGTGTCCGCCGGGGGCCACGCGGCGGCCCTGCGGCCTCTCGGCCACGCGCCGGCGAAGGGCGAGCGAGGCCGCGCTGCGCGGGGGGCCGCGCACGGGCCCACGCCTGGCTGCCGGGGCGCAAGTCCGACCTCGGCTGCGCGCACGGCCTCAGCCGGCGGGGCCGGGGCGGGGCCGGGGCGGGGCGGGGCGGGCGGGGCCGGGGCGGGCGGCGGCCCGAGCACCGGCCACGCGGGAGCAGGGCGCGCCCCGGGAGCCGCCGGCCCCGCCCCAGGGCCTCTGCTGCCCGGCCGGGCCGGGGGGCGCAGGCGCCGCGGGGTGGACCGGCCTGGCGCGTCCCTCCGGCGGGCGTCACCCGCCCGCGTCCCGCCCGCAGGACCGGGGTGTCCGGGGTGTCGGGGCGTCCCGCCCGGTCGGGGCCGCGTCCCGCCGCCCTCGGAGAAGGCGCGTCTGCTGCGGGGTCGGGCCTCAGCCGCCCCTGCGCGCCCCCGACCCGGCCCGCCCCGACGAGAGGGCCGGTGCCCGAGCGTCCCCGCGCCTGGGCCGGAACCAAGGCTCTGGGCTCCACCCCCGCGGCGGGTCCGGGGCGCCCCGCGTTCCGCTGCGCCCCTGCGATGCGGCCCCGCGGCCATGGCGGCCTGTGGGCACCTCGGCCCTTCCGAGGAGGGCGCCCCGCGGCTGCGCCTCACCTGACCGCTGGCCACACCTGAGGACGGTGGGGCGGGCAGGAGCCTCGGGTGCACCTGCCAAGGCCCCCAGAACAGCGCCCGTGGGGGGGGAGACCCCAGAACAGCGCCCGTGGGGGGGGGGAGGCCCCAGAACAGCGCCCGTGGGGGGGGAAGGGAGGCCCCAGAACAGCGCCCGTGGGGGGGGAGGCCCCAGAACAGCGTCGGGGGGGGAGGCCCCAGAACAGCGTCGGGGGGGGGAGGCCCCAGAACAGCGCCCGTGGGGGGGAGGGAGGCCCCAGAACAGCGTCGGGGGGGGAGGCCCCAGAGCAGCGCCCGTGGGGGGGGAAGGGAGGCCCCAGAACAGCGCCCGTGGGGGGGGAGGCCCCAGAACAGCGCCCGTGGGGGGGGGGAGGCCCCAGAACAGCGCCCGTGGGGGGGGAGGCCCCAGAACAGCGTCGGGGGGGGAGGCCCCAGAACAGCGTCGGGGGGGGGAGGCCCCAGAACAGCGCCCGTGGGGGGGGGAGGCTCCAGGACAGCGCCCGTTGTGGGGAGGCCCCAGAACAGCGCCCGTGGGGGGGGAGGCCCCGGAACAGCGTCGGGGGGGGGGGAGGCCCCAGGACAGCGCCCGTGGGGGGGAGGCCCCAGAACAGCGCCCGTGGGGGGGGAGGCCCCAGAACAGCGTCGGGGGGGGGGAGGCCCCAGAACAGCGTCGGGGGGGGGGAGGCCCCAGAACAGCGCCCGTGGGGGGGGAGGCCCCAGAACAGCGTCGGGGGGGGAGGCCCCAGAACAGCGTCGGGGGGGGAGGCCCCAGAACAGCGCCAGGCCCGGCCGCCGAGCACACGGGCAGGTGCTGGCCCCGGGCACGCGGGGCGCCCTGGACGCGAGGGGGCGCTGGGGAGCCCCGGCCCGCGGGGCCCCGCCCCGCCCGCCCGCCCGCCCCCGCGGCGCGCGCCGACCCGCCGGGCACGTGACGGGCGCGGGCAACGGGCGGCGGGACCGGGATGTGGGCCGCGCGCGCCGCCGCCCGGGCCCGGGCCTGGCTCGCCCGCGCGCCCCGCCGCGCGCCCCCGCCCGCGCCCCCGCCGCCCTGGCCCGCGCCCCGCGCGCTCGGAGCCGCCGGCCCGGGGCCCCGGGGGGCCGCGGCGCGGGCGGGGGCGGCGGGCGGGACCCCGGGGCGCGGGGCCGGCGGGGCCGGGCGGGCGCCGGGGCGGAGGACGCGGAGGCCGCGGAGGCCGCGGAGGACGAGGAGCTGCTGCGGGGGGCCCCGGTGCTGCCGCCCGGCGCGCAGCGCGTGTTCCTGGTGCACCCCGAGGCCGCGCGCGGGCCGCCCCGCCCAGGTGACCGGCTCGGGGGCGGGGCTCGGGGGCGGGGCTCGGGGCCGACCGCGGGGGCGGGGCTTAGCGCTCGGGGGCGGGGCCTCTGGCGGGTCTGGGGCAGAGCGCGGGGGCGGGGCTCGGGGGGCAGAGCGCGGGGGCGGGGCTTGGGCTCCGGGGGCGGGGCCTCGGGGGCGGGGCTTCGGGCCGGCGCGGGCGGGGCTGTCCCGGGCGGGGCGTCGGGGCCGCGGGGCGGTGGCAGCCGCGGACCCGGTGGCCCGGGACCCGGGGCTGCTCCCCGCCGGGGTCGGTGCCGGGAGCCCCGGCGCGCCCGTCACGCGCCTGCCCCGCAGCTGAGCGGCGCGCGGCCGAGGCGCGGGCGCTGGTGCGCGCCCTGGACGGCTGGACGCTGCTGGCCGCGACGGCGGCGCCCGCGGAGACGCGCGGCGGGAGGCTCGTGCTCGGCCGAGGGGCGCTGCGCCGCCTGACCGGTGGGTGCCCGCCCGTGTCCTCGCCCCTTCGCGGCCCCCGGGACGCGGGTCCCCGAGCCCGGGCGCCCCGTCCGCGCCCCGGGGGCGCGCGCGGCCACAGCCCGTGTCCCCGGCTCTAGAGCGGATCCGGGGGTGCCGCGAGGCCACCGCCGTCTTCCTGGACGTGGAGCGGCTGGACAAGCCCACGCAGGTGCGCGGGGGGCCGTGCGCGCGCGGGGGGGGCGGGGGGGGCGCCCCCCACGCCCCCCACCGCCCCCCTGGTCCCCCAGAGGGAGCTGGAGGCCGCTTGGGCGGTGCCCGTGCTCGACCGCTTCGCCCTGGTCCTGCACATCTTCCGCCGCCGCGCGCGCTCGCGGGAGGCGCGGCTGCAGGTGGCGCTGGCGGAGCTGCCGCTGCTCAGGTGCGCGCCGGGGGGCCTGACCCCGCGGGGAGGCCCTGGGGTGGGGGACCCCTGGGTGGGGAGGGCCCCGGGCCGCCCTCCTTAGCGGAGACCCCACCTGCGCCCCCGCGCTGAGCGCCCCTCCCCGCGCAGGTCCCGGCTGGACAGCGACGCCGCGCGCGCCCCGGGCCGAGGATCCGGCTCGCGCTACATCTTGGGCTCCGGTGAGCTGCGAAGCCCCGCGTTCCCGCGCAGGAGCCCCAGGGGCCCTGGCCGTGCCCCTCTCCAGGCTCCAGGGGGGCCTCTCCCGGCCTCCTCCCGCTCCTGGGGCTCCAGGCTCCCTGGGCAGGGCTGGTCCTCGCTCTCCTCCGGTCCCCGAGGCCCCTCGCCTGTCCCTTCCGAGGACGCTCTCCTGGGGTGCGGGGCCCCGACCCGGGATGGGCGCCTTTCAGATCCCTCGCGGTCACCCCTTCTGCAAGCGCAGCCCCAGCCCGGGTTCCGGGGCCCCTGGGGGTCTGGCGAGCTCTCCAAAGCCCCTCCCTGGGGCTCTCGCTCCGCAGGTGCCGCGGGGCAGCACAGGATGGAGTCTGGGGGCCCCACCGGGAGGGTCCCGGCTCCCCGGCTCTCCCGCTCTCCTGTGTCTCCCCGTGTGGGCCCCCGACGCCCCGCCTCTGTGTTTCAGGGGAGTCCTTCACGCAGATGCAGCGGCGGCTCTTCCGGGAGAGGGAGATGAAGATCGAGAAGGCCCTGGAGAGGCTGAGGGCCAAGCGGCGCCTCCTGGGTGGGCAGCGCGCCCGGCGCGAGCTCCCGGTGGTGTCCGTCGTGGGCTACACCAACTGCGGTGAGTCCCGCTGCGCGCCCAGGTTGCGGCCGGGGGGGGGCCCGCCAACCCCGCAGGGCCGCCAAGGGTGCCGCCCAGGGCCCAGGGCGGCCGTAGCCGCGCCCCAGTGTCCACCCGGCGCCTGCGGTTCCGGGGAACCCGACAGACAGCCCCACAGACCACCGGGTCCTGTCGTCCCCGGTCAGGCCGTCCCACGCGTGGCCCTGTGACCGCCCTCAGGGAAGACCACGCTGGTCAAGGCGCTGACGGGCGACGCGGACATGCAGCCCCGCGACCAGCTGTTCGCGACCCTGGACGTCACGGCGCACGCGGGGGGCGCTGCCCTGCGGCCTGACCGTCGTGTACGTGGACACCGTGGGGTTCCTGTCCCAGCTGCCCCACAGCCTCATCGCGGCCTTCTCGGCCACCCTGGAGGACGTGGCCCAGTCGGTGAGCGTGGCCGGGGTGCCGGGTCCTCCCACGCGGACGGGGGCGGGTCTCCAGGTGAGTGGGGCGCCCACGAATTCCGAGCAGCGTCAGAGACGCAGCGTGTGCCACAAACACACACTTAGTGCCCAGGGGCCTGTGTGCACGGTGGGCAGCTGTGCGGTCTCGGAGCCCCACCCTCGGGCCCCAGCGCCCAGCAGGGGCGCCGCCGGGGCTCAGCTCCCCGCCGGGGCTCGCCCCTCGGCCCCGGCTGCCGTCCCCCGACGTGCGCCCGTCTGCTCTCAGGACCTGATCGTGCACGTGCGGGACGTGAGCCACCCCGAGAGTGAGCTGCAGAAGGCCACTGTCCTGTCCACCCTGCGGGACCTGCGCCTGCCCGCGCCGCTGCTGGCCTCCCTGCTGGAGGTGCACAACAAGGCCGACCGGGTGCCCGGGTGAGCGCCCCCACCCCACCCCCACGCCGGAGACAGGAGGCTCCCACGCGGGCGCCTGGGCCACCCCCCAGGTCTCTTGTCCTCCTGTACCTGGGAGACCCCCTGCTGCCTGGGCGTGCCCCGCCCCAGGTCTCATCCCCTGTCCCTGCGCGGCCCCAGCCCCGGGGCCCCCCCTGGCCCCCTAGTTCTCTGCAGCCTCGCCCACGGGCCGGCGCGTCCACCCCTCAGACAGACGGGGGGGCCCGGGGCAGGCCTGCGGGCGCGGCGACATCGGAGGCTCTTGGTCCTTCCGCCCCGGCTGATGGGGTCTCGACGCCACCCAGGTACACCCCGCGGGAGCCCCACGCCGTGGCCGTGTCCGCCCTCCAGGGACACGGGCTCCCGGAGCTGAAGGCCCGGCTGGAGGACGCCGTCCTGAAGGCCACCGGCCGGCGGGCGCTCACCTTGCGCGTGCAGCTGGAGGGGCAGCAGCTCAGGTGCGCCGGGGCGGGGCCGGGCCAGGGGCCAGGCGAGTGGGCGCAGCGGGTCCCCGGCTGCTGCCCCAGGCCGCCTGTGGGGGCCTCCAGCGGCTCGGGGCTCCTTGCGGCGTGGGGGGGCTCCTCGCCGGGAGCGCGCGCCCACGCCCCTCTGTCCACAGCTGGCTGCACGAGGAGGCCGCGGTGCAGGAGGTCCGGGTGCTCCCCGAGGCGGGCGCGGCCGAGGTCACCGTGGTCATCAGCGGCTCCGCCTACGGCAGGTTCCGGAAGCTCTTTCCGGAGTGAGGGGCCTCGCCCGCAGCAGTGTCCCCCGGCGTCGGAGGCCGCCCGGCCGCCCCGTCCACGCGCGCCAGGACCCGGCCGGGACAGGGGCCGCAGGGGCCGCGCCCAGGGCGCACGGCGCAGCCCCGTGTGGCCAGCGCGGGGGTGGCCTGGCGTCCAGACGCCCCGCGGTGGAGGGGAGTGGGGCGCTGTCAGCCCCGCTGGGCCCTTCTGCCGGCCGGGGCGTCCCGGGTGCGCACGGCAGGGCCAGACAAACAATTAAACGGACTCTGCGCTCCCCGAGTCCCCGCCGACCCCGCCGCGGCTCCTGTCACGCCAGCTCTGCCGGGAGGGGCGCCCAGGGTGCCCTGTGGGCGGGCGCAGACCCGGGCGTCCCTGGGGGACAGGGGTGCGACGGCCCCCAGGGTTCACCCCCCGCCGGCCACCCGATGCAAAGGGAACCCCAGGGAGCGCGGAAAGGGGTCCCTCTGGTCGCAGGGAAGGTTCTTGTGTCCTGTCGCCTTCTTGCCCTTGGAGGCGGCCCTGCCTGAGTCACCCCAGAGCTTGCGCTTTAGGAGGGAACACCCCCTTGTGGAGCAGAAAGGGGTGTGACCCCGTCAGAGAAGGGGGTCGCCGCCAGGCACTGACCCCCCAGCCCTGCGTGGGGGACAGGACGTGCCCAAGGGACGTGCCCCCGCGAGGCTGGGGGGCGGGGCGGCCAGCCTGGCCTGCACTTCCCTGACTGTCCTCCCTGCCCTTGGCCCAGAGTCGTCCCCCTGACTCCCCCCCAACCCCCCCCTCCGCCTCCAAGCGGGGCTCAGCGTGGTGGAGGCGGCAGACCCCACGGCGGGGCCTGTGCGTGGAAGACCAGGGGGCTGGGGGGCCTGCGGGGCGCACCGTACTGGCCGGGGCCTCGGGCGGGGAGAAGGGCCCGGGGAACAGGGGGGCTGCTGCCCCCCACAGCCACACACCCGGCAGGCGCGCAAGGGCAGAGAGGGAGCCACGGGCAGGCTGGGGTCACGTCACGTTTATTAAGGGGGGCATGGGTGGTGAGGCCGCCCCGCCTGAGACACCCCAGCACCCCGCGCCGTCCACACCTGAAGTCTCCAGGCTCAGAGGAGAACCCGGACCCCTCAGCGCCCCCCGAGACCTGACAGGGCCACAGCTCCGGGGGGGCCAGTCCTTGGGCCGACAGCAGGAATGGGGGTGCAGGTGATGCAGAAGCGGGGGGCTGACGCTGTGTCCGGGTGCTGGTGCGCGGCTGGTGCTCGGGCTTGGGTGCCGCTCAGACGCCCGAGGGGCGCGGGGACCCGTCGCGGCACCTCCCGGGGCTGGGCAGACTCTGCGAGGGCACCTCCCTGCTACTCGCCGGCCCCCCTCCCGGGCGCTGCCCCCAGCTGTGGGGTGAGGGGCTCCTCTGGGGAGGTGTCTGCATCCCTGGGCCGGGCACCTTCCGCGGGCAGGGGCACGTTCCAGACGCCGGGCGCCTGGTCCAAGGCGAGTGGACAGCCCGGCTGCGCCCCCTCGTGGGCCCCACAGGACGCGAGTGCCGTCTGGGGGTGTGGCCTTGGACTGGGCTGACCAGGCCCCCGGCGGGGACGCCCCCTAAGGAGGGGACTCCCCAGGCCTGGAGCAGCAGGGGCTCATGTCCACCAGGGGTCACCCCGCTGGGAGCACGGGGACCCTGCGGAGTTGAAAGGGGGGCGTGTCACTTCCGTGGCTCAGGAGAGGGGCTGCGGGTAGGGCCCAGGCTCGGGGTCCACCGGACAGGTCAGGGCGTGGCGAGTGACCGGCGGGAGCAGGGTCCCCTGGGCCGTGCACGCAGGGGGCCGCGCGGGTTCGTGGGGCATGGGAGGCGTGTGCGGTCAGCCCAGAGGGTCCTGCACGCGTGGGCGGGAGCCAGGCCCGCAGCTCGCACCTGCGCCTCACGGGCCGTAGCTGCCCTGCACGCCTACACCTGGCCGCACACACACCTGAGCCCTCGCAAAGCTGACACCGATGTCCTCAACGCCCTCACACGTGTCTTACGTGGTCATCCCTGCCTTACATGCACGCCTGTGTCCTTACACGCTCGCGTGCACCCTCACGAGGGACTCCTGTCCTCACACCTGTGTCCTCACGTGCTCTCGCCTGCCTGACATGCTCACACCTGTGCCCTGGCACGCTCCCCTGTGCCCTTTCACACTCGTGAGCCCTCCAAGGTGACCCCTGTCCTCGCACACGACTGTCCTCACGTGCTCACACCTGCCTGACACGCGCATACGCCCTCACACGTCACTCCTGTGCCGCACACAGGCTGGCAGCCGGTGCCGCGCCCGCGGGGAGGGGGAGCCCCGGCCTCGCCGCCCCCTTGCGAGGCGCCCCGCGGGGCCCCATCAGAAGCTGGGCAGAGGGAGCTGCCCCAGGCCAGGGCGCAGCCACGCGGACACCTGCCGTGTCCAGGGGGCGTCTCCGAGGACCCCCAGCTCCGGGCGCCTGTTCATCGGCCTCGCCGAGGCCTCCTCAGCCCTCGCGGTGTCCCCGCAGGGGCCCTGGGGGCCTCCAGGATCAGCGCCCCCTCCGCGAGGTGGCCACCCCGTGGTGGCCTTGGCGGGGGGCGCAGGCGCAGGGGGGGAGGCGGGGGGCGCCGCGCGGGGGGCTAGTCCTGCAGCAGCTTGGCGTTGAGCCCGATGATGTCGCCCACGAAGGTGCCGGCGCCCACGAAGTCGCCCGCGATGATGTTGGTGCAGGGCGCGCCGGGCCCCGGGCTCTGCGCGCGCACCCAGGCGCTCAGGTAGGGCAGGTTGGGCAGCGTCAGCCTCTCCAGGGACAGGCCCGGGTGCGCCAGCACGAACTCCAGGGTCTCGGTCAGGTTGATGCCGGCCACGAACAGCCCCCCTGGGGGACACGCGCGCTCAGCCGGCGCGGAGGGGGCTCGCCGCCCGGCCCCGGCGCCCCGCGGAGACGGGGGCTGGCTCGGGCCCCCCAACGCGGGACTCTGGCGCCAGGGCAGGGGCCGGAACGTCCCCAGACGCCCCCGTCCGCGGCGCCTGCGCGCAGGGACCCCGGCGGCTCCAGCGCGCCCGCGCCTCTCCGCCCCCGACGCGGCGTGGAGAGGCGGGGAGCCGGGGCGCGCGGGGCCCCCCGAGCGCACCCGCGTCGCCTGGTCCCGCGGCCCAGCGACGGGTACGTCACCCCCATCCCCACCGCGCACCCCCATCCTGCACCCCAACCCCGCGCCCGTCGGTGCTGGCGCCCGGGAAGCCCCTCCCGACGCGCCGGCGCCTCCAGGGCCGGGCCGCCGCCGGGGGCGCCCGGGGCACGAGAAGCGGGGTCCCTCCGCGCCCCTGCGCCCCTCGCGCGGGCGGCTGTGAAGGCGCGCGCGCCCCCCCGCCCCGGGCCGCGCCCCCCGCCTACCCGGGCGGCCGCAGCTCTTCATGCGCTCCAGGTAGCGCACCAGCTCCGCCGCCTTCACCTGGTCGCCCCACCAGTAGGGCACCCCGGGCCACAGCTCCGCGTGCCGGCGCACGGCGCCCGCGTCCTCGTAGGACACGACCACCCGCTGGCCCCGCGCCCACAGCTGGCGCAGCGTCGGCACCGCCTGGGGTTCGGGGAGAGGGGGGCGGGTTACGGGTGGGGTGTCCGCGGCGGGGCGCGCTGAGCCCAGAGCGCGGGCTGCACCCCCAGACCCCGGCCCCGGGGCGCGGAGGTGCAGGGATGGGGAGGCGTTGGGTGGGGCCCGGGCCCACGGGGCGGGGTCCCTAAGAAGGGGGCACAGCGGGGCCACCTGGGAGGCTGCGGGCGGAACGGGGTGTCCTGAAAGCAGCGCGCCCCCTGCGGTCAGGGGGACCCCCCTCCATCCCCGCGCCGTGGCCTGGGGGCCGGGGCTTGTCCTCAGCGGCCCTGGGGTTCCCAGCTGAGGGTGTCCCCCGGGTTCTGGGCAATTCTCTTGCTCTGTGGGGGCCCCCCCGCCCCGGTCCCCTTGAAAACTGCCCTGTCACTGGCCAGTCCCCGCGTCCTGCGCGTGGGTTTTGTCCCAAGCTTTTTAAGAGGTCGGGTGACAACCCACACCCCCTGCCCCTTGGGGTGCCCCATAACCAGGACACGGGAGGGGCCGGGTCCACCCGCCCCGGAGGAGGACCCTGGGGTTCTGGGGGAGGCCTGGGTGCGCTGCTGCCCCGCACACCGGGACCCGGATGGACACCGGGACTGGGATGTGGGTCCAGGGTGAAGAGGCTGCTGTGACGTCCGCGCTTCTGAGCACTCAGCAGGCAGCAGAGTCTCGCTCCCCCACCCGACCCGACCCCCCTCCTCCATGCACCTCCTCCTCCTGCCTGCTCCCCCTCCTCCCTGCCTGCTCCCCCTGCCCACTCCCCCTCTCCATGCACCCCTCGCCTCCTGCCTGCTCCCCCTCCTCCTGCACCACTCCTCCCCCTGCCTGCTCCCCCCCTCCTCCATGCACCCTCCTCCCTCCTCCATGCACCCTCCTCCTCCTGCCTGCTCCCCCTCCTCCATGCACCCTCCTCCCCCTGCCCAAGCACCCTCCTCCATGCACCCTCCCTCCCTCCTCCATGCACCCTCCTCCCTCCTCATGCACCTCTCCTCCTCCTGCCTGCTCCCCCTCCTCCATGCCCCTCCTCCCCCTGCCCACTCCCCCTCCTCCATGCACCCTCCTCCCTCCTCCATGCACCTCCTCCTCCTGCCTGCTCCCCTCCTCCATGCACCCTCCTCCCCTGCCCACTCACCCTCCTCCATGCACCCTCCTCTCCTCCTCCTCCATGCACCCCTCCCCCCGGCCTGCTGCTCCCCCTCCTCCATGCCTGCTCCTCCTCCTCCATGCACCCTCCTCCCTCCTCCCTGCCCGCTCCCCTCCTCATGCACCCTCCTCCCTCCTCCATGCGCCCTCCTCCCCTGCCTGCTCCCTTCCTCCCTGCCCTGCTCCCCCTCCTCCATGCGCCCTCCTCCCCCTGTCCTGCTCCCCTCCTCCATGCACCCTCCTCCCCCACCCCACTCCTTCCTTGCCTGCTCCCCCCCCACCCTCCTCTCCCTGCCCCATCCCTCCCCCCCTTCCATGCACCTCCCCCTCCGTCCTCCACCACTGGCAGCTGCTCCCATCTCCCTGGGACATCACCCGGCTGCCTCCCCGCCCCAGCAGAAGGAATCTGCCCCCACCCGTCCTGGAGAGGCCGAGGGCGCCCGCCTCACCCCTCGGGGACACAGCAGGTCCCCAAAGATGTTCTTGATGCAGGACACCAGGTACTCATGCAGCTCCTCCGTCATCCCCTCAAAGTTCCTGCAGGCCAGGATGACCACCTCCCGCGGGTGCTTCTCCAGCCACTCCGAGATCTCCGTCAGCGTGTCCTGCAGGGCGGCAGGGGGTGCTGGGGGGCGTCCGCCGGACCAGAGGGGGCACAGGTGGGCCCAGCTCACCCATCTCCCAGCCACACCCTGCACGGGGCTGGCTGACAGCAGGCAGTCCGAGGGGCGCCTCCCCCTGTGCAGGCCGAGCCCTCAGGGCCCTGCTGCCTGGAGGGCGGCCGTCCTGCCCCCCCACCCCCCGCACCCAGCGGGGCACCTCTTTCTCCCCTTACCCGGTCCCCCCACATCTGAGCAAACCCCGCCCCGCCCACCTCCACCAGCGCCGTGGTGTACACCATGTGCACGAAGTGCAGGTTCTTCGCGGAGCCCTGCAGCATGTGGGCGACCCGCAGGTCCAGGTACCGCACCCCCACGTCCAGCTGCTCTGTGACGTCCAGCACCTGCGGGCGGGGCGCGGTCACCGTGGGGACCCCGGCGTCTGCAGGGCCTGCGGGTGGGCGTCCCCCGCAGCGCGTCCTGCTGGTCTCTGAGCTGTGGCCCTGCACAGCTCAGTGGCCCTCGGGTGCCACTGCCCGCTGTGCCCTGCTGGGCTGCGAGCCCGCCCCACCCCCCACCCCGCAGTACAGCTCCGCGCTGGGCTCCTGGTGGGGACGGCAGCCCACTCTCCCCAAAATAAGGCACCCCAGGAAAAAATGCCCCTGAGGTCTCAGCAACCCTGGGCAGAATCCAGGGCACCCCAGCGGGCCCCCAGGCACAGCCCTGGCTCCTGGGCCACCCCCTCCCCGCCTCTGGGGACAGGACTCCTGCACCCCCACCCCCTTGTCTGGGGGCCCCAGTGGGGAGCTCGTTGCCCAAGTTCCTGTGCCAGCGGGATCCTGCCGGGGAATGTGGCGGATCCACATTCCAGGGGTGGCTGTGCCGCAGGCCCGTGAGGGGCTCCACCCCCACCCCAGGCAACTGAAAGTGGGGAAAGCAGGGGGGTGGGGGACTCCACGGCCCCCACACGTGGGAGGGGAGGCACCCTGCTGTCCCGGACCCCAGGAGCCCCCCTGGCACAGTGCAGGGGCCGATGCCCCAGCCCACCGCAGCCTGAGGGAGGCCCATCCCCCCCTAAGCACTGCCCGGCCAGGCAGCCCCTAAGTCCTGCCCGAGGGGAGGGCTGGGCTGAGCAGTGAGGAGCAGACGCCCCTTGTCCTGGCCACTGGGGGCCTCCCAGCACCCCCAGCCCCGCCGCAGAAAGGGCCCTCCTGGCTTCCTCAAGCCCGCACAGCCCCGGAACCTCCCCAGCTCCGGAAACCGGGGTGGGGCCTGGGCCACCTCTACCGCAGAGAGGAGCCATCCTCAGGGTTGGGGTCCCGGGCTGCCCTGCACCCCAGGACTGTCAGGCCCGAGCGAGCAGAACGGAGGGGGCTCTCCGCCCAGCCAGCAGAGGGGATGTCTTGCCTGCGCCCCACCCTCCGCCGCCGGGGGTCAGGACCCCCCGAGGGGGCGGGCTGCGCCAGACCTGGGTGATGGACCACTTCAGCACCACCGGGCGGGTGACGCACGGCAGGAGCCGGCCCAGGAGCTGCAGCAGCCGGGGCTCCTGGGAGGAGATGGGCGACGTCTTGCTCAGGCAGTAGGTCATGGTGTCGTGCGAGCCTGCGGGACCGAGACGGCCGCGTCAGCCCCCCTGCTCCCGCACGGGCCGCCACCCCCGCACCCGGGACGGCGTCCTCGGAAGGGACCGAGGAGCAGCCGTGGGGACCCATGGCCCCCACTCGGAGACGCCTGGAGCCCCGGGAGCTGGAGGAGGCAGGAAGGGGCCCCCTGGAGCCTGGGGAGTCTGGGGAGCCCTGGTGTGGGGACCCTGGGCTCGGGCCAGGGCCGGCTCCTGAGGTCCGAGCTCTGGGCGGGCGCTTCTGTTCCAGCAGCCCGGGGACACTGCCCTTCGCGTGCCCTGGCCGGAGGGCACTTTCAGGGATGGTGGAGGGTCAGCTCTTGCCAAGCACGTGAGTTTGGGCCCCCCGAGAACCCCCATCTCCCATGGCCGGTCCCCCATGTGGCCGGACCCCTGTGTGGGCGTCCCTTGCAGCCTCTCTGGCCCTCAGGTGGAGGCCTCAGAGGCTGGAGAATGACTCGTGGGCAGAAGTGGGGCTCCACACCGGCCCTTCGGGGGAAGGTGGGGTCTCCCCAGTTGGGAAAGGCTCTTGGCGTGGCCACAGGGCTGCAGGGTGAGGGCGGTCAGCTCGTGGAGACATCCGCCAGAGTGGGCTGCAGCCTCGGCCACGGGAGGACCACGGGCGGGTCCCCAGGTGGCGCCCCAGAGGACCCCGCTGGTGTCCAGCAGGGGACAAGGGCCCCCTAGACCCACCAGGAGGCGGCCCGTCGGGCAGATTTGTCCAGACTGCGCATTCTGGGAAACCCGATGCTGGGGGTCTGGGTGGGGTGGGGAGAGCTGAGCCTGGGGGAGCCCCCTGCTGCTGGTCCCCAGAACCCCGAGGGGCAGGGAGCCTGAGCTGGAGCCAGAGGGCCACCAGGAGGCTGGCACAGGCCTGTCCAGCGGGGCAGGTCCCAGAGCTGGGCCCCCCCGCACGCACCCGCAGAGGCTCACCCGGGATGGACAGCAGGTGCAGAGGCAGGTCCCAGAGCCGGGGGCACAGCCCCCCCATCCAGTCCGCGTTGCTCTGGCCGCAGAGTTGGCTGCGGAAGCCGCCAGCAGCGCTCACCTGCGCGCCCATCGGAGCAGCGCCGTGCACCTGAGGGAGGAACGGAGGTTGTGCAGGGACAGCCTGCGGGCCCTGGCTCAGGCGGCCTCCTGCGGAAGGAAGGGGCGTGGGGACACAGACGCAGTGGGGTGACGGGGGGGGGGGGGCGGCAGGTCTGGGCACAGCCTCCAGGGACACCTGAGCCGGGTCCGCCTGACGCAGGAGCCGACCGGCTCATCCGCCGGGGGGCCTCGCCCTGAGGGGCCCACCCAGCGCAGGCTGAGGCGCTGCCCGGGGCCCCAGGGCCTGCACCTTCCATGCCCGGGGGGCCCAGACTCGAGTCACGAGGCTCACAGTCCCTTGAGGAGGAGGGTTGAGCCCCCCGTGGTTCCAGCAGACTTTAGAGAACCTGTAAACTCTGTGTCTGAGATGGACGTAACCCTGAGAGGGCGCGACCCCTCCCAGCCCCGGTGGGCTCCCCACTCCAGCCTAGGGAGGAGACTGCAGGGACGATCACCCCAGAACTCAAGGAACCGAGGTCCTGATGATCCCACGGAAGGAGAGCACGCCACCTGCCTGTGCCACCTCTTGTGGCTACCTGGGAACACTGAGGACACTGCCCGTGCAGCCTCTCAGCTGCTGTCCGGTAATGCCATCTGCCCGTGCAGCCTCTCAGCTGCTGTCCGGTAATGCCATCTGCCCGTGCAGCCTCTCAGCTGCTGTCCGGTAATGCCATCTGCCCGTGCAGCCTCTCAGCTGCTGTCCGGTAATGCCATCTGCCCGTGCAGCCTCTCAGCCGTTGCCTGGGAATGCCGTCTGCCCGTGCAGCCTCTCAGCTGCTGGCCGGGAATGCCGTCTGCCCGTGCAGCCTCTCAGCTGCTGGCCGGGAATACTGTCTGCCTGTGCAACCTCTCAGCTGCTGCCCGGTAATGCCGTCTGCCCGTGCAGCCTCTCAGCCATTGCCTGGGAATGCTGTCTGCCCGTGCAGCCTCTCAGCTGCTGCCCGGGAATGCCGTCTGCCCGTGCAGCCTCTCAGCCATTGCCCGGGAATGCCGTCTGCCTGTGCAACCTCTCGGCAGCTGCCAGGCGTTCACATCCTGTTCCATTTCCCGCTTGCTCATCGGACATTCTCCTCCATCTTCCAGGAAGTCCTTCTGGTTGCAGGAAGGCTCCTGCCTGCACCCCAAGATAGGAGTGAGCTCCCTGGCCCCCCACCTGCACCAGGGGCAGGGATGGCGAGCCCCCCCCCACCCCCGACAAGAGCCCAGAACAATCTCGGGCCCCTCCTCATGAGGAAGTCCTGCCGTGCTGGGCCCCGGGAAGCCGCCCCCTCTGGTCCTGCACCTGACCCAAGGCGGGGTGGCCTGGGGTCCTGACGATGCCCCCCAGGAGCAGGTCTTCTGTCCCACATGGAGGGTGGGGGTGTGTCCCAGCCCCAGTCACCTGACAAGGGGAGACCTGGGGACTGTCAGGGCCCTACCCGCCTGGCACGGCCGTGCACACCTGCCTGCTGCTGCCAGGCCCCCAAACCACTGCCAGCCCCTGGGCTGGTTTCCCCACCTGGGAGACAGGCGAGGGCCCCCCAACATGGGGAGGGTGGCCTGCAGCCCCCCTCCCACGTGAGCAGGAAACCGCCCCCCAGGGAAGACTCACAAGACTCCCTTCTGGGGTCCCCTGCTGGCTGACCCCCACCCCAGGTCCTTCCCGGCACAAGCTGCACACCTGTGGACACACGCGTGTGGCCCCAGGTCTGCTCTGGACTTCCCTGAGGACGGCCACACCCCTTGGGCCTCTGGGCGCCCTGTGATCCTGGCAGACCCCTCAGCACCACCAGAGGACCCCTCCCTGCAGTGCAGGGGGTCGCAATGGAGCTACACCCCTCTCTGCAGTAAGAGTCCTCCTGGTATAGCAGCAGTCCCCTCGCTACACTAAGAGTTCCTCTAGAGTAGTTCCCTTTCTGCAGCACCAGTCCCCTCGCTACACTAAGAGTCCTCTCTAGAGTAGTTCCCTTTCTACAGCACCAGTCCCCCGCTACAGTAGCAGTCCTCCCTCTACAGTAAGAGCTCCCCAACATTAGCAGTCCCCTCTTTACAGTAAGAGTCCCCTCTACGGCACCAGTCCCCCCTCTACAGTAAGAGATCCCCTACATTAGCAGCTTCCTCTCTGCAGTAAGAGCCCCCTGTGCAGTGAAAGTCCCCCCTACAGTAGCAGTTCCCTCTCTACAGTAATAGCCCCAGTCTACAGTTAGAGTCCCCCCTGCAGTAGCAGTCCCCTCTCTATAGTAAGAGTCCTCCTATAGTAGCAGTCCCCTCTCTACAGTAAGAGTCCCCCTATAGTAGCAGTCCCCTCTCTATAGTAATAGCCCCAGTCTACAGTTAGAGTCCCCCCTGCAGTAGCAGTCCCCTCTCTACAGTAAGAGTCCTCCTATATAGTAGCAGTCCCCTCACTACAGTAATAGCCCCCAGTCTACAGTTAGAGTCCCCCCTGCAGTGGCAGTCCCCTCTCTACAGTAAGAGTCCCTCCTACAGTCGCAGTCCCCACTTTTGTCATTGTGTCCCCTGCGGAAGATTCCTGTGTGTCCTGCCCTCCTGTCCCCATGTCCTCCCAGCTCTCTCCTCCCATCACGCTGACCACTGAGGATGTCCTGTCCCCCATCCCCGGCCTCCCCTGGACCGACCCTGTTCAGTTTCCAGGTGTCGTTATGAGCAAGCCCTGCCCCCTACCCTCGATGGGGGTCACACCTGCCAGGACACTGTGCCCACCCCCGGCACGTGGACCAAGCATCTCCGGCACACAGGCCTGACCGGGTCCGCGAGGTCCCTCGCCTAGGCACGCCCTCCTCCCGGCACAGACCTGGCCCCTCCTGGGCCTCCCTGCAGCAGGTGGGCTCCGAATGGCGCCTCCAAGGGCACCCCTGGCCGCGTCAGCCGGCCTCCCCGTGGACCCCGCAGGCCTGGCTCCTCCACGCTGGCCCCAATCCCACAGGGCGGGCGGCGCAGGGAGGGTTTCACAAGGCGGCCGCGTGTGTCCCGCTGACCTGCCTCCCAGGTGGGAGGCTCCGGCCTTGACCCGGCATCCGCGTGCGCGGGACTCAGGAAATGCCTCCCAGGTGAATAAACCGGGGTGCCGGCCGCGCACCACCTCGCTCCCTCTGCCTCGCCGGCTCCGGTGCTGCCGGCTCCCGGCTCCAGGGCAGGCCCCGGCCGCGCCGAGCTGTGCCCCGCCAGGACAGCACCGGCCGGGTCGGGTGCCCTCCCCGCGGCCGGGAGTCGCGCCTCGGGAGCCGCCGGCGCGGAGCGCTGAGCTCGGGAGGGGCCCGGCGGGAGTCCCCGGGGCCCCCGAGCCTGGACGCCGCGCCCCGAGCCCGCCCGCCCCGGCCCGGCCCGGCTCACCGCAGCCCCGTCGCGCGTCCAGCAGCCGGACCGCCCGCGCGCGTCCCGCCTGTCACCGCGGCCGGCGCGTCCTCCCGGGGCGCCCGGCGCCGATTGGCCGCGCGGCTCCTCGGCCGCCCCGCCCCGTCCAGGCCCGTCCCGCCCCCGCGCGCCGAGCCGAACCCAGAACCCAGCCGGGCCGGGCCGGCCTGCAGCTCCGCCGCCAGCCCCGGGGGCGCGCGCCCAGACCGGGGCGCCCCAGGTGAGCTCGCGGCCCCTGGGCACCCGCCCCGCGCGCCTGGGCCGGCCCCGCCCTGGCCCGGGCAGCCTGGGGCTTCGGGGGAGGGTCAAGCCCGGCCGGGCCCCCAACCTCGCGTGACACCGTGTCGTGGGCCCGGCGGCTTCTTGACGCGCGCCCTTCACTGGAGTGTCCGGCCCTGAGGGTCCTTGTCCTGTGCCAGCAGTGTGTGCTCAGGGGGGGCGCTCCCCAGGACCTGGCCCCGGCGCCTCCTCCAGGATGACCACTCACACCCCACGGGCCCCCCTGGGGCCGCCACTCAGCGCCCTGCCTCCCAGCTGGCCAGGGCAAGGGTGGACAGAGGCTGGGAGGGCCGCCAGCACCTGCCTGGGCCTTGGGGTGTCATTCCCCAGAGTGGTCATTGGTCAGCGCCCCCTGGGCAGGCCCCTGGGTGCAGGGACACGGCGCGGGCGGGGAGCCAGCCCTAGCAAGAGGACCCTGGACCCCCAGGGCCTCCCCATGCCTCCGACCTGTCCGCGGGGTCGGCCCAGGGGTAGCGAGTTGAGGGAAGACATTGTCAGGATGGGCCGGTGTCGGGGGTCCTCACCCATAGGGCATCTGCGCGACCCCACAGGAAGAACCCCGAGTGGAGATGGGGGGCAGCTACAGGCCAAGGGACGTCCAGAGCCCGGGTCTGAGGCCTGCGCAGCCCATCTGAGGGGGCCCAGAATTTGCCCCCCAAAATAAGCCAGCTTGTCCTCAGGACAGTTTTGAGCTGAAGTTGGCTGGGGAGCAACAGCCCCCCCGCCTGAGGCAGAGGATTTCCCTTCCGGAAGATGCCCTAAATCACCTCCCCAAGAGCCAGGAGGGGGAGACCCTCATTGTGGGAGCAGGAAGCTGCCCCCCAAGATGAGGCTGCACAGACAGACCCCACTAAAATAGCCCTTCTCTGCCACGAGCCCCCACCCCATGTTTCCTGGCCCTCAGCTGTCGTGCAGGGTCCTCCAACACCCCCACTTGCCAAAGGGTCAAGCACCCCTCCTGGCCTCTTTCCTGGAAGCCGGGGTGTAAATATTAGCACAAACCTCCCTTTCCCGTCCGTCCAGCTCTTGTTGGTTAATCCATGGGCCCCAGGGGCTGACCTAAGAGGGCAGAGCCAAGTGTCCCCTGCATGGTCTGTAATGGGGGGTGCGCACCCCACTCGGTGCTCTGGGCTGTGGCCCCCAGACCAGGCCCATTTCTGCCACGTCACCCGCCCGCCCCCAGCGGCTTTGGCAGCCCCAGCGGCTGCTGCAGCCCCGGCCTCTGACTCAGCGAACCGCTGGCCTCGGCTCCTGTCCACCGAGGTCCAGGCAGATGGACGTTTGTGGGTCTTAAAGGCTCCGCCGGCCGCTGGCCCCTCGGATGTGCCCGTCAACCTCCTG